CCTGGTACCAAAGTGATGAGCCTGAAGGAGGCGGAGAGAGTAACAGGCTGGATAAAGATGGGTAAACCATTCCAGGTTGTATCTAGGCAAAGTTTCTGTACTGATTAGCAGTGGGATTAGGTTCACGAGTGACCAGAGTATCTAACTTGGGTGAGATAGCCATAAATAGGTCCAAGTAGTATTGTGTGGTGAAGTATGATGAGCTTTTGAGTAAAAATCAGTGGAAGCAGAAGCAATATTGGATGCAAACTACCTGGACAGGAAAATGAAAAGTGGGGAACTAAAGGAACTAGGTCACAAACTTCATATAAATGTATTATATGGTGATCATTAGAGACTTCAGTTTTCTAGACAACTGCAGAGGTTCCCTGCCAAGAGAAGAACAGTGAATAATTTCTTTGTCTAAAGGTAGAAGAGCCAATGAGAAATTTCTATTCTGGAATTGATTGTAACCAAGAGGGAGGATCTATTAGGGTATATATGTGAACTTTAGGGGAAAGTTAACCCTTCATCAAAAAACAAGTGAGATAAAGAAGGAAAGGAAAACGAGGCATATAGTTTGACATCTCCAGTTTATAGTGCCCTCCCTGGGATCTAGCACAGTGCCTAGCAATTAGTGGGTACTTTATGTTTATTGAATGAACAAATTAATACATCCTAGATTTTGTGAAAGTCTATTTCAAAAGGTTGAGGAAAAAGCAGTTGCAAAGACTAAAGTAAGGTCAGGAGGAATAAGCTTTAAAGAATGAAATTCTGAAGACATTATTCCAGTGAAAAGGGAAAAGTTATTTAAATGAAAGAAATATGCACATCAGCTTATATTTTAGATGTAGGAAAGATAAAAGTGAAGGCAAGTAGAAGATAAATATGAAAGTGTGACATAGTCATCAGTATCAGCAGCACTAATGCTCAGAATACTGAGACTAATGAAGAAAAGGACACTACCAAGCTGTTTTAGTTATATTGTAGGAGAGAATTATTTTTAGTTTGTAAAGGATAATAGGTAACAGCACCTGCTACATGGCAGTGTCAACCACTATGAAAAAATGCTTTATAATATTTGATTCTCACAACTACCCTAGGAGGAAGGTGCTATTATCCCCATTTTATAGTTGAAGAAACTGAGGCAAACAAGTGACTTACCCAGGGTTACACAGCTAGTGTCTGAAGCTGAATTTGAACTCTTCCTGACTTGGGACTCTATTCACCAGACCGCCTATACACTGGTTCTAAGAGATCTGAATTAGAATGTCTAGGCTCTTGTTTTGATCATGATGTTCATGTAGTCCAGTGCTTCTTAAAATCAGTTGTTCGTGTTATGATACCTTGTCAGTTAACAAGCTAATATTAATTACTGTGCTAAATGATGCAAATAAAAGTCTCTGCCCTCAAGGAATTTATAATCTAAATGGGGAAAGACCACACACAAAAGGAAGCTGAAAGGGGGAGGAATGGAGAGCAAAGAGAAGATACCTGGTATGGAGAAGGTCAGAGAAATGCAACAAGGTGGGAAATGAAGATATGGCTGGTCTGGGTTCCTTTCTTACATGGATGTTCTGAGAAATACTCTCCACTCAGAGGAGCAGAGAGTACTGAAAAGGTGTGAGGACCAGGGCTGATGTGATGAAGTTCCTGGTTGGATATGATGGAGAAGTCTAGTGGAGTACAGTTGGGTGGGAAATTTATTTTTTAGTTTTTTGACTTTGCTATTTCCCTTCTGATGAAGTCATTGACTTCTGTTTAGTTGATTTCAGGGAATTTGTTATTTAGGCTAAGTTTTATACCTCGAGACAAACTACTCTCAGTTCTTTCATAGTTCTCATTTCTTTTCCTATTTTTTCCTCAAGTTCTCCTTTCATTGACAAAAACTTTTTTTTAAATTATTCCTCTTTTCCAGGAATTCTAGTTGAACTTGTAGCCACACTGTTTTTCTCTAGGGCTTTGCTTATAGATATTTTAGAGTCATTTTCTTCAGTGTTTGTGTCTTGAGCCCCTCTGCTACCATAATTAGTTCTTTATGGTAGAATTCTTTTTTGGTTTGCTCATTCTTTCTCTGGACTTGATATTAAGGCAGGAGGCTGCACTTGTGGAGGGAAGGTCTGGGCTGATCCTGTTGCTGCTTTCTTGGGATATTAAGTGTTGTGTTATTGCTGGATGCTCCCAAAGAGGTAGGATCCCGGGTAAAGTCTGATTGCTTTCCCCCTGGTCTGAGCTCTGTAAGTTTCCTGACTTGAGTTTGGGTCCAATCAACAGTAGACTGCTGCTAGGTTTGGCCACAGTCAGCCAGTGGGAAAGCTCTGCTAGTTGAGACTGATAGAACTGTAGTCTTCCCTTTGGCCTGGGGTTCTTGCCCTGATTATTTCTATGCAGGCTTCAGACTGGACCAGAAGCTAGAACTGTGACCCTTGCTCTTCCCTTGGTAACTAAGTCACACTGATGCTGCTTGCTTCTGAACCTGCTCCTTTCTTGGTACACAGCCTCTGGGTTGTGCTAGGATAGAAGAGTGTGGTGGGGGTAGGCACAGACCCGCTCCTCACTCTGCCCTGGATATGTGACTGGAACTGGGTAGTGGGTGATGAAGTTGCCAGTTGGCACTTGTCGCCAGCAAGTGCCTTGGTATGGGACCTCTGCTTGACCCTGGTGTACAGCTTGTTCCTGATCCCCTGCAGACTTCTCTATCTGTCTCCTTATGCCAAACTTGGCTAGAAAAATGACTGAACATGATTTTTTTCTTGAATTTCCCTATTAGAATTCCTTTTCTAGATCTGTTTTGTAGGAGTTTTGGGGAGCAACTCTGTACTGCTTCCTGCTGTTCCTTGGTCTTGACCTCACCTACAAAAAGCTTTTAAAACACTAACTTTTGTTTTTATATATCATCCCTTTCACTTGTCAGTGTCGTCCATGTGACAAAGGAAAACTGACACTTCAAGCAAGTCTGAAAATAACATGCAGTGTCTTGAGAAAATCAAACTGATTTTGATTACATTTTTAATTGATTCTGTTCTGTATCACCAAGAACATTTTGTATAACTACCTAAAGTCATGTTCCTTTGTCTTTATGTTAAGTTCAGAAGTTTAAAAGTTCAGCTTTCTCATAATGACCAGCTTTCCTCCCTCTGAGTTAAGTTTAAAAGTTCAGCTCTCCTATAAATCACTTTTAATTAAGAAAAACCCATTATTTCTCTACTACCAGCTGCTTGACCAACTAGAGGAAATCCATTATCTCCCAGCCACTTGTTGTCCTTGCACAATTAAAGGAAAATATGTTATCTATATACCACTAGTTCAGGGGTGGGGAACCTATGACCTTGCAGCCATATGTGGCCCCCTAGGTCCTCAAGTGCAGCCCTTTGACGGAATCTTGTGAATACTTGTGAAGTTTGGATTCCATCAAAAGGCTACGCTACACATGAGGACCTATGAGGTCACATGCGGCCTCAAGGCCACATGTTGCCCATCCTTGTACTAGTTATTCTTGTAGGATCCAAGGGTGCTCAATAAATCAGCAATTTCCTGGCAAGAAGATGAGGGGTTGTTGCTAGCCCCACATTCCTGATGTCTATCCAATCATAGTGTACCTCACACCTCTGATATTTTTGACCTTGTAAGCGAGCAGTCATATTGTTTTCCCCATCTACAATGTTTCCTTCTAAATTTTAGATGCCCTTCCTTTTGTCTATAAAAGTGATTTGTCAGCCCTCACTTGAAGTCTTTTGGCTTGCTCGGGAACTGAGAGATATCTTTTTTTTGATAATTGCTAGCCTTACCAATAAATTGATTGTGCTCAGAGCTTTGTGCCTCAGTCTACTTTATTTTTAATCATGACAGTTTCACTTCCATGATCCTCTACTTTTGCAAAAAAAAGATAGGGAGGTACATTTGTCAAAATTGGGAATTTTGTAGAGGGAATTCTTGTTCAGGAACAAATTGGGTTAGATAGCCTCTGAGGTCCCTTTTGATTCTTGAGATTATACGCTTGTCATTCTACATTGGATTTGTTTTTTTTTTTTTTTCATGTCTCTGTAAATTCTCCATAGAAGATCTTTACACTTGAGACCTTTTTCTGATTGTCTTAATATTTCAGGGCTGCTAGTGTAGTACTAGGGCTTCCATTTGCTATCTTTTCATACTATATAATCAGCTTACATCCTTTTAAGTCATGTGCCTTATATATTCTTGTACATGAGAAGTCATGATTTTTTCTTGCAATATGGGATCATTGTGACAATATTAGTGTCTAAAAATTCCGGGCTTCTGCGGACAAACAAGTCTTGGGTTCATTTAAAGTGTTTAATTTCTAAAATCTGACCCTGCCACTCTCTTCTCTTTCAATTCTGGACCCAGCCCACTGAAGTTGTCTGTTTGCCTGCCTGCCTGTCTATCTACATTACTGCTTGTGATGGATTAACTCATTTGCGTGTTGTAAGCTAGAAAATATGTGTTTATCATCGGCTTTGTTTTTCTAATATGAATGATTTCTTTCAAATAAATGTAGATTGAATTAGAGAGATTTTGGATTGTGTTAAGAGTTTGAGACAGTTTAAAAAGCAACAAAATACAGTCCAAAGACTACTGGACTTAGAGTCATAAGACCTGGATTCAAGTCCTAGCTCTATCACTTATTAGCCGTGTGACTTTGGACAAGCCACTTTACCTCTCTGAGCTACAGTTTCCTCATCTGGAAAATAATACAAATAATATGTTGAAAGTAATTACAGAATTATATAAATGTTTCTTGTGAATTTTTTATATTTCATATACTTCCAATCTTCTGTGGTCAAGACTAGGTTTTCCTAACATAAAGGAATAGTACAGTTGCTAAGTTGTACAACAGATTTGAAAAAGGTTAATTTTAGAAATGGGGGACAAATATTTTAAATCAAAGGGTTTTTGATGTACAGTCTATATGTAAATTTATATCCACATAAGAAAATATGTCTTAAATTTTATTTAGCACTATTTTTTCCTTCAGTATATTTTTTATTTTTTCCTGAGTTTAGGTACAGAATGAGTACATGTCGCTGGTGTACACCAGGTGGTGAGTCTACTGTTGACTTCCTAAAGAGCTATGCTTTTGGAACACTTCCCTGTGAAGTTCTCACAGCTAATGAGGACCTCTGTTACTGCTTGGAGTGTGTGGCTGAATACCACAAAGCAAGAGATAAACTGCCTTCGTTGCATGAGGTAATCAGAATGAGCCTAGAATATTAACTAAAATAAGAAAAAAGTAGATTATTTAGAATTTTAGCATAGGGAAGAGAATGAGTTTGAACTTTATTCACATTATCCAAAGAATTACTAATGCATAGTAATTTAGAATCTGAGGACTGGAAAGGCCTAATTTGAGGATTTCTCTACAGCCTACAAAAAAATAAATTAAAACATGGGAGAGATTCCTTATGCCTCATTCGTTCAGTATGTTGGAATAAAATCAGTTTGTTGAACAAGAGCATTTTCTTTTTTTCTATATTAAATGGATATGAGTGCTGACTTGTAAAGTTAGGTGACTTGTAATTTTTTCTTCATAAACAGTTCGTTTTGAAATATTTTGGAAAATGTAGTAAACTTCCAGGGGCAGCAGCATTTTTTCTCACCAAAGAAGCTAGTGTGCAAGATGTAATTTTCAATTGCTAACCATAAAATTTTAGATCTGCAGCCAAATGTGCTTGGTAAGAAACGGGAAGCTGGCCTGTAAAACATTTAGGGGAGGACAGCAGTGGTAAGACTATCCTTAGAATATTTGTTCTTTATTTATGAAGGGTCCCAATTTTGGAGCTAACCAACATTTTCAGTTTTAAGAATAATAACTAACCCTTCTCTGGTGTTCTCCTTTCCCAACAATATGATGAGTTAGTTAACAAGCATTATTTTCCCCAGTTTACAAATAAAATTAGTTCAGAGAGCTGAAGTTCTTTTGCTCACTGATATGATAAAAGTGTCACTGGGTCAACATTAAGGATTGACTAGATTCAAGCCAAGGATACTGAATGATTTCTATCAAACTGCAAAAGAGAATTTCTGAGAAAAGAAAAAATATTCATTTTAATCTCTTTTGTCTCTTCCCAGCCTAACCCTTCTCTATGTAATTTATATTTTTAAACAAAACAACATTGTTTATCTGACCCAGAGATTTCTTTTAAAAAGTATTGGCAGTAGTCTATTACATAGTCTTCTTTAAACTCCTAAATTTCTAGTTATTGAAAAGATTTCTGTAGATCACCGTATACAGAGTTTTTCATTAATAGCTCTTTTTTTGTTCTGATAGATATTATGGAAATTTGAAACCACTCGTCTCATAAATCATTTTGAAAAATCTATGAAAGGCGAAATTGAGGAAGATGACGAATTATTTATAGTCGATGACAATGGTGAAACACAACTGTTTGGTTTCACTGGCCAAGACTTCGAAAACAAGCTTCGAGTTCCTCTTCTTGAAGTACTGAAGTATCCTTATCTGCTCTTAGATGAGCATGTCAGTGAGTATCTTAGAATTATAGAACCATAACCAGTGAGGGCCCAGAATCTATTCTCAGCCTCAGGACCAGACCTCACACTCTTCTTTCCTCTCCCGCCGTCTCCCTCACTAGGGAAAATGAAACTAGCATCCTAGCTAAGACTTTGGTATGTGTTACCATGGAAGGGTTCCTTATTGAGAAGCTTATGGCATTGCATTTTCCAATGGTTTGCAAACCATTTTCCTCTCTGAATTCCAGCGATTCAGAGCCAAAGGCTGCCTAAGTGAAAATTCTTTTCCCTTGTTTCTACTCCCTCATCCCTTATCTTCATCCATTTTAGCCCTACCCCTCTTGAGCCCTATCCCATTCTGCTCTTCCCTTCCACCATGCCTCTGGAACCTCAATTCTGTTATCAAAAACTACCCCTCAAATTAGATCTTTTCCTCTCATATTCCTTCCATGTCTAAAACAGAAGTCATATTTTCTTTAAATCCATTTTTCTTTCTTTCCTATTTCTGTTGACATACCACCATCTTTCTAGTTTACAATCTCAGTCATCCTTGACTTTGCTTTTTCATTCACCCACCTCCCCCCCACACACACAATGTCTTATCAGTTACCAATGTCACTTCTACTATCACAACATTCCTCACAACTATCCTCCTTCTCCATTCACAGAGCCACCACCCTAGTTCAAGCCCTTATTATCTCTTGCCTGGACTGTTGTAGTAGTCTCTTAATTTTGTTCAAATCTTATCTCTGACACTCCCTATGTGACCTTGGGCAAGCCACTTAACCTCCTTGGACCTCATCTTTAAAATAAGGGCATTGGACTGGATGGCCTAAAACTTTCCTTCAAGTTTTATATTTATTTTCACTTCTGTTCTTCCTCCCTCTGTACTTTCTTCTCCAATCCATTCTCCATTGCCGAAGTGATACTACTAAAGCATAGGTCTGAGAGTGTCACTCCCCTATCCAAGAAGCTGCAGTGGCTTTTTGTCGCCTCTATGATCAAATATAAATTCCTCTCTTTGGTGTTTAAAACCCTGCACAAACCTGAATCTAGCCTATCTTTCCAGACAGTACTTATTCTTTCCCTTCATACTGTCTGTATGCCGGCCAGATTGGCTTATTTCTTTTTGTTTTGTTTTGTTTTTGTTTTTTTGGTTAGGCAATGGGGTTAAGTGACTTGCCCAGGGTCACACAGCTAGTAAGTGTTGTGTGTCTGAGGCTGGATTTGAACTCAGGTCCTCCTGAATCTAGGGCCGGTGCTCTATCCACTGCGCCACCTAGCTGCCCCAAGATTGGCTTATTTCTTATCCCTCATAGACAGTATTCCATCTTTCATTTCAAGCTTTTGCATAGGCTGTCCCCCATGCTTGGAATGCACTCTCTCTTCATGTCTGGGTCTTGGAACTTCTAGCTTAACTCAAGTGCATCCTCCTACATAGTGCCTTTCCTGATCACCCTAGTTGTTACTGCCTTTGCTGTCCCCCTAGATTACCTTGTATTTACTTTATATATATACATATACATATCTATATCTGTATATTTTTTAACATACATAAGACAGTGTGGCAAAATAGTTAGAGAGCTAGTCTTGAAGTCAGGAATACCTGGATTCAAGTCCCATCTTTGACACGCTGACTTATTACTCTGGACAAGTTACTTAATCTCTTGGCCCTCTAGGCCATTGGGGTCAGACTTTGAAATGACAGCCACTAAACCAAACATAAAGATCACATATTGACTTGGAAAACCACACATTTATGTATTTCTTGTCTTAGTAATTTATTCTGTTAAATATTTCCTAATTACATTTTAGTCTGGTTTGGGCCATATTTGGGAGTGTTGTGAGTTGTGTGTTTTGACACCTCTGCTGTAGGCAACAATCTTAGGCTATAAGGAAAAGAAGATATCAACCTGAATTGGTAGAGAGGGTTTTCTTCCTTCCTTCTTTCTTTCCTTCTTTCTTTTTCCTTTTTTAAATTTTATTTTTATTTTCAGTTCCAAATTCTTTCCCTCCTTCTGCCTCCTCTCCCTCTCATTGAGAAGGCAAGAAATAAGATGCCCATTATATATATGAAGTCATGCTGAACATATTTCCACATTAGTCATGCTCCTAAAGAAACAAACGAACAAATAAATAAATAGAAAAATGCTTCTATCTGTGCTCAGTTTAGAGAGTGTTTTCTTACTTGGGAGTTCTTACTACCAATGAAATCACAAATGTAACCCCTATCTTTTATTCGTATGTTTTTTAATCTACTTAGATGTATACCTATTATTTCCCTTGACAGAATGTAAACTTCTTAAATAATTAGGGACTTTCATTTTTGTCTTTGTATCCTCAACACCTCGTACAGTATCTTGCATGTAGTAGGCATTTGCCTATTGAATTGTTCTTCTTTATATTCATGGAAACCTGGCTCCTCCTTGAAGATACTTAACAACTTTATCAGTAGTAGTTGTATCTCCTCTCTTACCTTCTTCTCACTGGGCCAGAATAAAGAATAGACATAACTTTTGCTCTTTATTCCACTGTCAGACACTCCATCTGCCACCATCACTCAGCAATAGCTCCTCAGATAAAACCCATGCATTGTGAGCTCCTTCTTTATTTCATTGCTGTACCTCAGAGCTCTTCAAATGTCACCCTCTGGTCTCCTTTTGTTTCAGTCTCTGAAGAGGCACCCTTTGTCTTTATCAAAGACAATTCTTCTACTTACACACTTGATCTCATCTCCTCTTGTTTCTTCTGAGAGTTTGCCGCTTTGATCATCCCCTCTCTCTTTTTAATCTTCATTCTCTTATTGTCCACTGTCCACTTCCCTGACATCAAACTGTCCTTAATCCTTTAAAACCTTTACTTTACCTGCTGTCCCCTCAAGCTATCATCCTCTATCTTGCCTTCTCACAGCCAAACTCCTGGGAAAAAGCAATCTATACTTATTGTTTTTACTTCCTGTTTCCTACTCCTCATCCTTTTATAATCTGTCTTTTAAACCTATCACTCAACTTTTCTTTCCAAGCTTACTAATAATCTATTGCTAAATTCAGTGACTCTTTTTCTGTTTTTGTCTTTTATCCCTTTTTATAATATTTGGTCTGTCATTTCATCCTTCTTATACTCTATTCTTCCTGGATTTTCATGACACTATTCTTTCTTGGTTATCCTCATACCTAATTGAGTATTCCTTTTCAGTCTTTGTTGGATTATCGTATGTGTCCTATCTCCTGTGTATAGTTTTACCATGAAGTTCTGTTCTAGGCTTTCTTCAGTTTTCTGTCTTGAATTCTTAACTCTTGATGATGCCATCAGTGTCCATGGGTTCGATTATCTTTATTATAGATGATTCCCAAATCTATATTTCTAGTCCTCTTTCTCTTGAAATCCCTAATTTTGGGGGTAACTAGGTTGCGCAGTGGATAGAGCACTGGCCCTGAATTCAGGAAGACCTGAGTTCAAATCCCACCTCAGACACATAACACTTAATAGCTGTGTGACCCTGGGCAAGTCACTTAACCCCCATTGCCCAACCCCACCCCCCAAAAAAAAACAAAAATAAAGAAAAAAGAAATCCCTCACTTTAAGGATAAAATACCACCTCCTACACAGTCTTTCCAGAGTCACTCCATTTTTTTGTGTTCTATATGTTGCCCCCAAAAATTACTTTGTATTTGTTTTGTATATACATATATTTTTACTTATTTGGGTACATGATGATTCTTTCCAATAAAATATAGGTTCCTTGAAGGTAGAGACTGTCACTTTTGTTGTTGTAGCCTCTGAGAGTAGCAGAGTAGCCTAATAACTAAATAAAAATTACAGTGCTAGGTTTGGAAGTGATCTTTGATGTCATCTGGTTCCACCTTATTTTACAGATGAAGAAAGTGAGATACAGAATAGTGAAATGACTTGTCTAAGGTTATTCAGCAGAGCTTAGGTTATGTTAGCCCAAGCTCTTTCCATTATTATCATGATGCTTTGGATTTTTCTATTAAAGTGAAAAGGATTCATTAGAAAACTTGTTGGGCAGCTAGGTGGTGCAGTGGATAGAGCTCTGGTCTTGGAGTTAGGAGGACCTGAGTTCAAAAGTGATCTCAGACACTTGATACTCACTAGCTCTATGACTCTGGGCAAAAAAAAAAAAAAAGGTAAAATAGAACTTTATGGGACAGCTAGGTGGCGTAGTGGATAGTGCTCCAGCATTGGAGTCAGGAGGACCTGAGTTCAAATCCAGTCTCAGATACTTGACACTAGCTATGTGACCCTGGGCAAGCCACTTAACCCCCCGTTTGCCTCACCAAAAAGCACAAAACAAAACAAAAACTTGTTCCCTGAAGTTTTCATGGTAATCTAATGATTCTTTTACATAACTTTTTATTTACCCTTAAAACCATTGAAGTAAACAGAATAGGCTACTTTAATTTTAGCTGATATATATTTTCATATTACATTTACTGTGTTTTTCTTTCTATTTAGATGAATTATGTGTTGAAGCACTTTGTAGGATGGAGCAAGCTAACTGCTCCTTTCAGGTATTTGACAAACATCCAGGGATCTATTTGTTCTTGGTACATCCCAATGAAATGGTGAGTTGTGAATGTGCTATGGCTGTAAGGTGACATTTATTGCATATTTAGGCTCTTATACTACATTGTTTTTGTCATTACTAAAGCCTTCCATTAATATTACCTATAATATTTAGTTGCATCAAATTGATATTTTTATGATGTGACATACTGTTGTATAAAGAAATTTTGAGTCCTAGTTTGTAGCTTGTTCTATGAGGACTGTTTGATTTCAGTTTTGAAAATATATTTTATAATTCAAAGCATTTTTTAAAAATTCTTAAATTTTACGCTAAAGGTTTACAAGTTTTTATACAAAGGTAAAAAATAGAAACATAGAATCAAAGAAAGCATTCATTCTTATTACATTTCTCATTTTAAAATAAAATTCATAATAAACTTCTTTCTTATCTTATTATTTTAACCAACGGCTTTAATTTAGAGTTAAGCTTTGATTTAATTAAAAATGCCAAGTCTCATCATAGTTCTCGATCTTTTTAATATGTGCTTTTTCTTTCTTTCATATAGGTTCGACGATGGGCTATTCTAACAGCCAGAAACTTGGGCAAGGTAGACAGAGATGATTACTATGATTTACAGGAAGTATTGACTTGCTTGTTTAGAGTTATTGAGTTGGGGCTTTTAGAAAGTCCAGATATTTACACTTCTTCAGAATTCGAGAAGGGTAAACTTGTCCTTCTGCCATCTCACATGTATGACACAAACAACTACAAAAACTACTGGTTAGGTAAGTTTTATTCTTACTGTGTTGGATTTTCTCAGTTGATTTCAGGTGTCCTGCATGGGAATTCTTCTCCATTTATGATGTGATTACAAGATTATTATCGAGTATCTCCCAGGTGCTACCTAGTTCTTATTCTGTCATTGAAATAACTTTAGAAAGCCCTAAATTTTCAAGAGTATTTAAGAGGAGTCATGTGAACTCTTAAAGTTATTTCTACAACTCAAACCTCTTTATAAATACCATTGCAAAAAAGTTTAAATCTTTGTAACTAAAATATTGTCAAATACTAACCAATGGACCTCTTCTTTAAAGCAATATTTGATGTAACAAAATTCTGTTACCACAGAAGAATTTTAATAACATTTGGTCTTTAATGCCTTTTTTCACCTGTGAGTTTTCCTAGTGGGAAAACAAAGGAAAAATATTTTTAAAAATTATATATCTGAGATAAATTTATTCTATATATGATCACAATCATCTGAGATGATTGTCTGCTCAACAAAAATTTCTCTGTTTTTTCATCAGATTGATTGCCCTAAATTTTCAAGTGCCTTAGGAGTATTTAAGGGTTGTGTAGAAATGCCTTTGTTTTAGACTGCCAAAAGTAGTTTCTTGATTGAGCTTTGTCTAAAGAGCTCAAAGCTGCCAGGCATTACTTATTTAGTCCCTGCCGAATAGTTCCTTTGGCCAACTATATCTTAGAATGCTTTTTAATATGTTGTTAATCTTAATATTTCAGAGAAACAGTAAATTATATTTCATGAATCTATATGTTGCTGTTCATTTTTGAGGAGCTAATGATTTCAGAGAAATATGAAATTGTTTTTCAGGAATCTGTATGTTGCTAACTATTCTTGAGGAGCAAGCAATGGATTCTTTGTTGCTGGGCTCAGACAAGCAAAATGATTTTATGCAATCAATACTTCACACCATGGAAAAGCAATCAGATGGTAACAAACTACTTGGGCAGAATACTTTGATATATTGTAATGCAGAAACTCTTAAATTGTTAATGTCACTGTGAGAATTTGCTTTACTGTGAACAAGTCCAGTTTTATTTTCTACTTCTACGCTCAGTGTCAGGCCAAGATTTGGTGATGGTGATCTGGGTAACTTTTGGAAAGATGTTAAGACAATGCCTGACTAGTATGGGAAGGGTATGTGGGAAGGGGGGAAAAGAAACACTTTTATCTTAATTTTTTGTAATTCTGTTCTTGACAAACATCATTAAACACAAGCAATTCTCTATACAAAACAAAACCAAAAAATTGCACATGAAAGCACGAATCTATAAATGGTACAGCTGTCCTGCTAGTCTGTATCTTTCTTCTGAACTTCTTTCTGTTCTTTTCTGTGCATCTTTTTTTTTTTTTTTAGTGAGGCAATCGGGGTTAAGTGATTTGCCCAAGGTCACACAGCTAGTATGTGTCAAGTGTTTGGTCTGAGGCCGGATTTGAACTCAGGTCCTCCTGACTTCAGAGCCGGTGCTCTATCCACTGCGCCACCTAGCTGCCCCCCTGTGCATCTTTTTTACAATACTAAAGTGACCCTCTTTTCTTCTTCTTTTTTGGCATCTGTATTACTAGTATTAAAGCAAAACAAAACAAAAAGACAAAATCAGTCTACTTTGTAACAATTAAATATAGCCAAGTAAAACATATCTATACTTCATCCACGTCCATGTCCAAAAATGTATGTCTTTCCCTTGAGTCTCCTCAAAGGGAGAAACACTTTTACAAAAATCATAATTGTGTACCACCATACTTGTATACCATTTATAGTAGGGGCTTTGATAGACCTTCCTTGAATATAAAAAAAAAATCATATCTGTTTCTTTAAAGATGGCTAGTATGTTTTATTTAAAGTTTTTTGTTGCTAAGCTTTTAATTTTGTATACATTTAATAATGACATTTGGGGTAAAAAATGTACAGTTATCTGTAGCAGTTTTTCTCAAATCTTCCTCTCATTGAACTATTGTTAATTTATATTTCAGAGGATAGTGTAGATCCTTTCTGGCCAGCATTGCATTGCTTCATGGTGATTCTGGATCGCCTTGGCTCAAAAGTCTGGGGTCAACTTATTGATCCCATTGAAGCATTCCAGACCATTATTAATAATGTGAGCTACAACAAAGAAATTCAAAATATACGCAATAGTTCCACAAGGTTAGTTCTATTAACTTCTGTTCAATGTGTGGCACATAGGAGGTGCTTAATAAATGCTTATTGATTGATTTAAAAATCTCTTTGTGTTAGTTTTGTGCTAGTAACATAGTTCCTTTACTCTTGGAGTATATTTCTCTATTCAAAGTACTTTTATTTATTTCTTAATGTTTTAAGGACGAAGTTAGAGCCTGAGTCAGATTTGGAGGAAATGGTGACTTGCAGCCAGATTGTGTACAATTATAATCCTGAAAAGACCAAAAAGGTATAAAAAACTTAATATTTGTTTTGAAAAAATAAATGAAATTGTACTGCCTTTTTATGCTAAAGAAGTTAGGATTACAGTTGAATAATGTTCTGCATAATAATTTGGCTTACTGCTTTTCTGACTTTACTAACATACATGTTGACTTTTAAAAATTTTTTTTCAATGAACAAAATCTATTTTCTCTCCCATCTCCCTCCTTTCCCATTGAAAAAAAAAAAAAGAAAAACAAAACCCTCATAACAAATATGCATAGTCAAGGAAAACAAATCCCACACTGGCCATATCCAAAAAAACCTATGTCTCATTCTGTACTCTGAGTCCATCACCTCCATCAGAAGGGGGGTAGCATGCTTCATCTGGAATTTTAGTGGTTATTGTGTTGATCAGACCTCTTAAGTCTTTCAAAATTGTTTGTTTTTATGATGTTGTTACAAATGTATAAATTGTCCTGCCAGTCCTGCGTACTTCGTTTTCTATCAGTTGATACAAGTGTTCCTAGTTTTCTTTGAAAACATCACTTTCGCCATTTCTTACTACACTGTAGTATTCCATTATACTCCCCTTAATTCCAATTTTTTGCCACTACGGAAAGCTGTTATAAATATTTTTATTCACATGTGGGTCCTTTCTTTCTGTTTTCAATATCTTTGGAATATATTCACCTGTGTTACTGGGTCAAAGAGTGTACAGTTTTATTGACTTTTTGGATATAGTTCTAAATTGCTTTCAAAAATGTTTGGACCATTTCACAGGTGTACTGACAATGCATTGATTTGTCTACTTTCTCTCAATCTCTCCACTAGATTTTAAGAATCTAAGCAATGACTAGATTTTAAGAATCTAAGCATCTTAATGGAGACAAGGTGGACCTTATGTACAGAAAGACTGTGGGAGGGACCTAGGAGTGGCTAGTAAGCTGGGGTGAGCTCTGGGACCTGGAGTAGTCAAGGGAGAATAGAGCCTAGCTAGGATTAAGGGTGGGAAATAACTGGGGGCCTTAGGGAGGTAAGACAAAGGAAGGCCAGGCTAGGTTAAGGGTAACAGAATTGGGAGTTTGAGTGTAGCTACAGTGAAAGGCCAGTTGATGGGATTACAGCCTCAAGCGAAAGCCAGATATTTGGCCATGTGGGAAAATCCAGGGTTTTTCCTTTCTGGGGTCCGGATCCCAACCCCATCATTCTCTCCTCAAACAAATGGGACCCAAATTCTTGTGGGATAAGGGGCGAAGGTCTTGGCTTCTGAAACTGCTTCCTGCTGGCAAGGGGTGTAGAGCTGTCCCTGCCTTGAGGGGGTCCCGAAGAGGAGCTTGAATGGAACCAAGCACAGGCTGCATCCAAGGAATGATGGGGGAACATTGGCTGGTACCCACTGTTTGCTACCAACTTGAGGTGAATGTCTGGACTTATTTCAAATGGAATTTCTTATTCTATCTCTTCCTACTGGATTTTTTTTTTTTTTGTAGCTCAGAGAAATATTGATGATTTATATGGGGTTTTTTAATATCCTACAAGTATGATAAATAATGTTGCTGTACTTAATCTTTTTTGTCTAAAACTCCTTTGGCAATCTGGTGAAGCTAATGGGTTCACCTTCTCAAAATAATGTTTTAAAATGCACAAAATAAGATACATAGGGTAACAAAGGAGACCAAATACATTGAAATTCTATTCACAGACTCCGGGTTAAGAGAACCTTTGCCATAGCATCTTTGCTAATATTTTATTTAAATTTTTGTCTTAGTATTCATTGGGGATATTGGTATATCGTTTTCTTTCTCTGTTTTGATTCTCCTTGATTTAGATAATAAGACAGTATTTGTATCGTAGAAAAAATTTGGTAGGACCCCTTCTCCTTTTCTTTCAGATAGTTTATGTAGTATTGGAATTAATTGTTCTTGGAACGTCTGATGACATTTGCTTGTAAATCTCTGTTTTTGAAGGTTCCTCCTTTGGGAGACTATTTATGGCTAGTTAAGTGGTTTCTCCCCTTAAGATTGTTACTTAAATTCTTTATTTCTTAGTCTGTTTATCTGGGCATCTTGTGTTTTTGCATATATTCATCTGTTTCATTTAAGTTGTTGATTTTCATTGGCATGGAAATGGGCCAAATTGTTTCTAATAATTTCCTTCATTTCTTTTTTTAATTTTGGATACTGGTAATTTGGTTTCCCTCTTTTTAAAAAATAAAATTAGCTAATGGTGTATTTCTTTATTTTTTTCTTTAAAAAGTCAACTTCTAGTTTTATTAATTCAATGAGACTTTTTGTTTTGCTTTGAATTTTGTTGTACTCTTCTTTGATATTCAGAATTTCTCTTAGTCTTTAATTGAGGTTTTATAATTTATTAGTTTTTTATTTTTTTATTTGCATGCCCAATTCATTGATTTGTTTGTTCTCTTTTTTGTTGATCAAAGTATTTAGAAATACAAACTTTCCCTTAAGAGGCTGCGTAAGCTGTATCCCCCAAATTTTGTTACGTTGTCTCGCTATTGTCATGATCTTAAAAGAAACTATTGTTTCTGTGATTTGTTCTGACTCACTGATTCTTTATGATTATGTTATTTAGTTTCCAGTTAATTTTTAATCCTTTCTTCAGTCTTTCATTAACTATAAATGAATATATGTAATAAAATGTATTTAGTATTTCTACTTTTATGCATTTATTTATGAGGTTTTATGCAATCATATATAGTTGATCTTTGTAAAGGTGCTGTGTCTTAAAAAGAAAAGAGAATGTGTGGAAGGGCCCTTGTAGTGAGTAGAATAGAGAATCATTTAGGGAAGGTTAAACAATTGCCTTGAGTCATTGAGGGACCACTTGAAATTAAAGAACATAAATTTGTCATGGACCCAATTAGCAGTTCTTTGTAACTTTAGCTTTGTTCAGTTGTTAATGCCATACGTTTTTATAGTCTTTTACTATTTACAGTTATCTTATTTGATATTCACTACAACCCAGTGGAGTATAATTATTATCCTCATTTTACAGATGAGGCTACTGAAGCTCAGTGGAGGTTAAATGATTTGCTTAATATCAAGCAACTAGTAAGTGGCAAATCTAGGATTATACCCAGGTTTTACAATATAATATACTTTTTGGACACCATGCAGCATCTCAAACTGAAGATGTTAGCAATGCCCTGGCCATCTTTAGCATACTAACTACACAGATATAGTTGCACATGTGAACTTCTAGAAGGCAAAATATAGTTTTGGCAGGTAGGTAGAAGAAGAGGACAGGTCTAGAAGGAGATGGAAACTGACTGAAGGGGGAGGAGAATGGACTAAAGAAACTCAGTATTATTTAGTGTATCTGAATTGGGAGAGGTATAGAAATGTATCTTTTCAGGTTACCTTCATACTAAATTCTAACTTGTTTCTACCCACCTGTTTTTATATTTAAAAATAATTTAATAACATAGATATTATAAAAGTTTAGCAATACATCTTGTTTAATGCTTTCAACTTTAACATAGCCTAGAAAGCCCATATGTTAAATAGTTCATTTTTAACTAAATATCATTGTGTTTTTTCACCTTAGGATTCAGGATGGAGATCAGCTATTTGCCCTGATTACTGCCCTAACATGTATGAAGAAATGGAAACATTAGCCAGCGTGCTTCAGTCTGATATTGGACAAGACATGCGTGTTCATAACAGCACATTTCTTTGGTTTATACCTTTTGTTCAGTCCCTCATGGATCTCAAGGATTTGGGTGTAGCTTACATAGTAGAGGTTATTCATCATCTATATTCAGAAGTCAAAGATGTCCTCAACCAAAAAGTAGCAGTATGTGACACGGTCACCGAGTTTTTCCTTCTGATACTGGTGTCAGTAATTGAACTGCATAGAAATAAGAACTGTTTGCATTTGCTATGGGTTAGTTCTCAGCAGTGGGTAGAAGCAGTAGTGAAATGTGCTAAACTTCCTACCATAGCATTTGCACGGAGTGCTGAAAAGACATCTGGAAGCTACTCCAAAGGGGCAACTGTAATATCTTCTTTGCCTTTGCACTCAATTCCATCTAATTCTGTACAGCTTGCTTGTGTGCAGCTGATCCGAAGTCTTCTTAGAGAAGGTTGCCAGCTTGGACAGCAGACTCTTTGTAAACAGTTCTTAGACAAACTCAACTTGCTTCTGAGGGGAAATTTGTCCCTTGGTTGGCATTTAAATAGTCAGGAGACCCTAGAATTACAAACATGTTTGAAACAAATCATTAAAAGCAAAAAAGTCAAAGGACTACCATGTAGCACTTTTGTGGATAGGGCCATAGCATGTAAAACCCCCCCTGCAATTTACATTAAAGAAGAAAGTGATGCAACTATGGAGAAATCAAAAAAGGATACATATTCTCAGGACAGTTCTAGTCCACCATTTTCTAAAGAACCGCTGAGAGCTGATGTCTATCAAGGACAAGACAGTCCATCTCTAAGAAGAAATTATAGTTGGGAGGAGGAAAATAAGCAAACATACTTAAAGGAGTCAAAACTAGATGACCATTTTTCAACTAAATCGTGCTTAAGGCAGGAAAAAAACCCTGATGCTAACAGATCTCATAATCATGAAATTTTAGATAATGTAGAAAAACAGAAGTGTACTGAAGAGAACAACTCCACAAATATACAACAGAATTTGACTTCAAAAAATAATGCAGTGGAAGGAGGATATGACAGAACAACAAATATTCAGACATGTTTGATGACAACTGACTCTAGATCTGATTCTCCCCAAAATGTATCAAGCTCAAGTGATGATTCCCATTCAAAGAATGATTCTGGCTTTAGGAACTCAAAGTTTAGGACTAAAGCACAGAAAGATGAATTATGTGCAAAATTATTACAGGTAATGAAGGAACACAAAAAAACCACCATGGTCACCAGTGTTAGCAATTTAGAATCAAAGCAGAGTTCATCCAATTTGGGAAGTCATAATCCATGCAAAGATGTGGATGTTCAGAAAGGGTTTGCCTTAATACAGAAAGCACAGACAGAGCCTTGTATTACTCCAAAGGAAACAACAAATGAAGAGCAAGAATCAAGAAATGATGATTCATTGGTTGAAAAGAAAAAATCAAATGATAGACAGCTAGATCCCTTAACATTTCATAAAAAAGATGACCTACCACAGGAAAGTGATAGTGATGAAGATGATGATGATATGGTTTCACTTAAAACAATTAGAAATACCTTACTGAAGAAGAAATGTCAGCTTTTACATCACACAGATAGGCATGAATCAAAGGACAGTAATTGTGAGGAAATTAATAATGATAATGATCATGTTCCACATAATTTGGCAAGAGAAGAAGTGCCTCCTCAGAACCTTAAATTTAGCACCTTAACAGATTCTGATAAAGACAAAGACCTTGACAGACCCTCTTTCATAGTCCATACTAATGTTCTTAATTTTCCTTCAGATTCAACTCCAGAAAGTTCTTACCAGCTACAGAGAAAAGTGAAAAATGTTATGAGACTGTCTGAAGTTAACCAAGTTAATGAATTAACCTCTGTTGTGGAGACCACCAGAAATCAAATTATAATCATTTCAGATGATGATGATGATGATGATGATGGTGGTGATGAAAGATCACCAAATCTTCAGAAACAAATTAAAACAGATAAAATAGGCATTAAGAGAGAATTTCCAGAAGAGAATCCTTCAACTTCTAATGCCATTTTGGAAAAGAAACTAGAAAAAGAAGAGAAAACAAAATCCCCTTTGCTTGATGAGGAATCTGATTCACAGTTTTTTGAATTTGAAACTCCATATGAAGTATTTTCTGTTTGGCAAAATTCTGAACCAGAGAGCAAGAATTCTGTTCAGGAAAGTGAACCAGAACAAGACTCTTTTTTGTCTTCAACAGGTGAGAGTGCCATAGATGATCAGACAAATGACTGGGGTTATGATACCGATTATATATCTGATGAAGTTATTCAGAAGGTAGCAGAAACTCTTGAAGAACATTTAGATTCACAGTGCGGTGTTTTTCCTAATGAGAAATTTCAAATTGAATCAAAGAGTAAGAAACAGCTATCTAAAGTACCTATGGCTGAAGATCTTTCATTATGTTTAAGAAAGGTAGACAAACCTCGTATTTGTATTTCTGGGGATCTTATTGAAGAGCACACTAAAAATGTAGATGAGAAGGAGGAAAAAGAATCTACATCCACTCTTCCAGTGTCACCTAATTTAAATGTTGAAATTTCCTCTGAAGAGTCAGGTGAACAGTATTCTCCTCAGTCTCTTTCCAGTCCAAAACTTAGAAGACCATCACTTTCTAAAAATTCAAAGAAAACCAATGTTAATCCCCCAAGAAGGCAAAACAAAAAAATGAATCAAGCTAGTCCCAAAAAGATACTTTGTAGAACAATGCCTGCTGTGATTCCTCCAAAGAAATTTCGCCAGTGTCCTGAACCAACTTCAACTGCTGAAAAACTGGGTTTGAAAAAGAGGCCTCGAAAAGCATTTGACTTGTCCCAGAGATCTTTAGATTATGTAGTAAAGTTACGTGACCATGGAAAAACTGCAGGTGAAGTTGATATTCAGCAAAAGAAGAAGACAAAGTTAATTACTCCCCAGACTCTGGTTGTCAAAAATAACAAGAAAATGTTGGCATGTCAAGATCTTCAGTTTTTAAGACAGATAAGACCCAAATCCCACAAAAACCAACAAGGACGTTCTGCCACTCATAGTAAAGATTCTTCTCCAAAGGCAATTACAAAACCAGTCCAGAATTCTGAAACTATTATTCAAGCATCTTCTGGACCCAGTGACAATTTTAAAGAAAAAAACAAGCTAGCCCCAGGCACTGATAAAAAGCATCAAAGAAAAAGCTCATTTTCTGAGACAGAAACAGTTAAAGCAAAAAGTCTATCACCGGTTGCTAATAATAGTCCTCTTTCTACCAAACAAAGTTGTGCAGAATTAAATGTTAGAGCAGAAACAAATGGAACCACTGTCTCTACTTCAAAGAGCCCTTTATCCAACTCATCTTCTGTTGGAGGTGACCTAACAGGGGTTGTCCAACCCTTATCTTGTTTTCATTCTGAGGGAACAGCTTCTAGAGAGGCAGACTCTGATGTTAACAGTGATACAGAGGAAAATAATTTGTTTTTAACACAACATGATCCTGTAGATATGGAATTAAGTTCACAGGTAGAGAGTTTTCATGACCTTGAAATTCCTATTGGAAAAGATAGAATGGAGGAAGATTCTGAAAACCTCACTGGGGACAGGGCTTTGAGTAGTATAAAGTGTAAGCACAAAGATTGTACTGATGTTGTGGAAAATCTGAATGAATATTGCTCTATACATTCTGAAGCTAAAGTATCTGATGACTATGTTTTTGCTAAACCAGGCTTACCACTTTCACTGTCTAACAAAACTGTAAAGTCTACTACTAAGATTTTTAGTTCAAGTAGTAATTCACGAAATGCTCATCTTTCTAGAGCTATAGAAAATAGTTTAAAACTCCCACCAGCTTCAAAAAATCAAACAAATTTGAGAACCACAACCACGTCAAAATTAATGCAACCAGTTTCTCCATTAGTTCACAAGCCAGTTTTGAATGATGAGGGGAAAAATTTGTCTAACATTCTTCAACCACAGAAAATGCAGACTTCTCCAAATTATTTCAACAGACCTGCTCCACCAAGTCCCCTTGAGAAGAAAAGAACTTTTCAAACTTCCTCTGCAAATTTTCCTGTGCAGCAATCTGTATTTGACAGCTTTGTTAAGGAGATTTTAAAATGGAAGTATGAAATGTTTGTAAATTTCGATCAGTTTGGACCTCCAGCAGATCTTTGCCAGTCCACCTTAAGATCTGTTCCTGTCACATTTCAGGACTGTCAAGACTATCTAAATGTTTTTTTCCCTTTGCTGATGTTGAATACTTTTGAAACAGTAAGTATGTATCTTTGCCTTTATGAAATTTGCCATTCTCCTATCTTTTCTGATTGACAAAACATATTTTAAAAATTAATTTTTAATGAAAAGAATTTTTTCTCCTCTCCATCCCACCTCACACCTTGAGAAATAAAAAAAAGAAAGAAAAAACAAACCCTTGTAACAAATATGCATAGTTAAGCAAAATGAATTTCTGCAATAGCCATATCTTTAAAAATGTCTTATTCTGTTATCAGGGTATATTGTTAAAATGTTTAGCTTCAGTTGTCTTCTAGATTCAGATTTTAGATGTATTTAAGATTTCCACCATGCCTATTTCCAAAAGGATTTGAAGTACTTTGCAGATTAAAACATGGGACAAAATATGGCTATTTAAAGGTAGAGCAGAGATTTTCTGAAGGACAAGATAGCTCAGCTGAGATATATAAAACTTTTAACTCTAAAGCTTCATATAAATGTGAGTTATTTGTATATTTCAGCCACTTGAATTGAACAGATTATAGCTTTCAGGCAGTTAATTTTTCCTCCATTTTAAATTCATTGATACATTTTGTTTTGACACAGCATACTTCCCAGTTAGCTCCTATACAAAATACATTTGTTATTAATGGAAAGGGAAGGGGTATGTCCCTTAACATGAATAATGGAGTACTAACTACAAATTTTGCTGTAATCCACTCATTTCCAGATCTGGATCTTCTAGTTATGAATTTTTGCTGAGATATAATGTGATTTTAAAAATTATACTTTAAAGAATGGTTTCCTAAAATGTTTTAGCATTCTTAATTTGCCACTTTGTTGTATTTAGGTGGCCCAAGAATGGATTGACAACCCAAAGAAAGAGAATGCCTATGAGCTCCATTTACGAAGCTTTTCTCCTGGTGACATAAATTGTGGGCAGTTTGTGGGTAAATTTTTTTTTTTCATTTTTAAAGAGTTTTGAGAAATAGGTTCAGGTACTCTGGTTTTTTATTCAGAAAATAGGAATATTTGTCAATTGGATGGTTCTCATTTAAAAGAAAACCTGTCAGGCAGAATTTGTATCTACTTATAAAAAATGTTTTTGATGTTAAATACTGATGGCCATTCAACTACTACTGGCAAATGTGCTCACTTAGGGGCCTGATGCTTCCTTCTGAATAACTATGGAAATACTTATAGCATAGAGGCCAAGAATGGGAAAGGGGATCAGAGAAAGAATTTCATCGAGTCAGAGCAGTGTTCATAGGACATGAGACGATAACCAGAGGAAAACTGCCTGTGTCATTTGTCTTCAGTAGTAGCCTGAAAGGAGCTCAGTTGACTTTTTATAGACATATAACGTTAAGAATTCAGTGGAATGTCTACCTCTTAAATTATTTTGTTTAAGAAAGAATAAGTAAGACTCACTTGATTTTTAAAAAATGTACTGACCTCCCCAAATTAATAAATTCTTTAGCTAATTTGCTAATATGAGCTAATAACAAATTAGAATTAAATTGATGATTATCTCCCCAGTTTTGTGGTGTTGATATTAAGTAAAAAAAAATTTATGTCACTTATGGTAATATTCAAGATTGTATACTACTTCACTTGGCAAAGTAATTATTAGTACATTTTTGTAATATGAGTGGTTTAAATATATACTCAATTTGTCGTAGTAACAAGATTTGAATTTTGCTAACTTGGAGCCACTTAAAATATTTCTATTATTGACCATAGCTTTAGTAAACATAAGTTTTTATAATAAACATGTAATTTTTTTTCTGATTTAATTTTTCTTGTAGTTTGTCTTCAGGAGTGTGATATGACTAAACAACTACATCCAAAGGAAAATGACTTGGTATTTTTGGTTCCTAAAAAATTAAATGGAAAAAAAAAAGCTGCTGCAGAAGAAAGTGAGATGAAAGATCAACAAGTGTATCATTGTGGTTACGTATCTCAGTTTCGACGCTCTTCAGTCAGTAAGTGAATCAAAACACTACAGCCAAAAATAGAATAAAGCCATAGCTTTTCATTGCTCATTTAAATAATTTATTTCCCTAGACATAGTGTTTTATGTTGCTTCATCACTCTGTTGTCTTTTGTAGTTTTCATAATTTTATAAATTTAGGCCTAGCATTAATTTTTCTAATTTTAAAGCTTTGGTTTCTTTTTTTTTTTTTTTTTTTAATTCTCTCTTGCTTCTTATTGATGTCATCTGTGGAATTCTTTGTTTTTAAAATAATATATTTAGTTGTATCGTAAATTGATTTCCAGTCTTTCACCAAGTTATATGACTTATAACTAAGATTTCTAAATGCATAATTCAAAATCTATAAAATAATTGAAAGTATTTCTGTACTTTAAAGTATCTGTCTGTGGTGACCCTGACTCCCAGTATTATGTATATTGCTTCCTTAACCTCTTCTATTTAAAGATAAGAATTGAGTTGTATCTTCCATATGCCTTTTCATAGACATGTGGGGCTTTATTTCCTTGAAATGATTACAGGGCTCCATGGTGTAATGGAAAGAGTACTGGATTTGGAGTCAGAAGACCTAGGTTCGTATCCTGGCTCTGCTGCTTACTACCTGTGTAACTGTAGGCAAATCACTTGAATTTTCTGGGCCTCAGTTTCCTTGTAAAACAAGGGATTTGGAATGGATGATTATTAAAGATCCTTTCCAATACTACAATCTGATCCACTACTTTGTCATTTTAATATGTAGTATGCTTTATTAAAATGTGTAGAACCTAGGTCCTTAATTCCTTTGTATAGAATGCATTTGGAAAGAGTTGCAAGAGGAAATACCATGTTTAATTGAAACTCTAAGGCCTTTAGACTGTGGCTTTCTTTTAAAAAAATTATTGATATCTTGTGTTTTTACAAACATCACCCTCATTTCCAAATATATCTTTCCCTGTTCTCCTACCTAGAGAACCATCCCTTGTTGCAAAGAATAAAGAAAGGGGGGGAAAGCAATTCAGCTAAATTAACCAACACATCAATTGAGTCTGACAGCACATGCAGTTTCTCACATCCATTGTCTCCCACCACAGCAAAGAAAGGAAGGGAGGTTCATTTTTTCATTTCTTTTTTGGGGCAAATCTTGGTCATCATAATTACACAGCATTCATTTTCTTTTTGTTTATTATTTCTGTTTACATCGGTATACTCATTGTGTATTTCTTTACTGGTTTTGCTTATTTCACTTTGTATCTGTTCATATAAATCTTCCTGTGCTTCTCTGTAGTCTTAATATTTTTTGTTTTGCATTTGCTTTTAGAAGCGAAATTAAATTTACTAACAGATGTAGCTTTAAGAAATCAAGTCACTATTTACTTTGCATAGAAAATAATCTACTAGAAAGTAAGACAGCATATAGAAAATCAATTTTGTTAAGTTTAATTCTGAAAGCCCCATTTAGTTAGATTGTATCCATTGGTAATACTGTATACATTTTCTTTCTCCCAATAATAGGACATAATTCACAATTTGAGGGTTGCCTTTCCATCCAGACTCAAGGCAATTTGTCATTCCACATAAATGAATCAGTAGACTGTATTGTGATCAGTTCTTTGGTGACTACACAACGGAAGTTGAAAGCCTTGTCTCTTTTGGGGCGGAATTCACTGATTCCACTGGCCAGGGCAATTCTGAACCCAAGTACTTCAGACTTTTGTCCTCGAGATTCACTGAACATGGCTCCTGAGAGGATTGTGAGTAATATTTATGTGTGTGTGCCAGGGAAGGTTCGAACATTACATTTAAATACTCTAAAACCAATATAAACTATTAAATTATTATTTTAATTTACTGTATTTCCCTGCTTCTCTGAATATAAGACTAGGTTAATATTATAAGCACAGTAATATTCTGAGTACAGTAGGCTTGTTCCAGGAAGAAAATGTTTCAGTAGAGTAAGGAGATGAAAGTATCTTTATAGAACAGCAGTGAAGTGTAGCATAGTGGATAGAGTACCAGACTTGGAGTTAAGAAGATAGAGGGTTCAAATCCTGCTAGTTGCTAGTTGCATGACCATTGGCAAGTAGTTTAGCCTCTCTGATCCTTACTTTCCTAATCTGTAAAATGAGGGGTTTAGGGTATATGACTTCTGAGGTCCTTTTCAGCCCAAATCTATAATCCTATGATCATCCCATTTGAATGTTGGAAAAGGATTAAATTCATCATAATTTGATGTAGGAATTAATATAAAATGTATATTTACAGATAGAGAAGGGGACATGTGCAAATGCCTTGGGTTAGTTAGTACTTTTCTAAGCTATTTTATGTCAGAATTTATTATGCATCTATTTTGCATAGTTGCATGAAAACTCTGGAGAATTAGAAGGAAGTAGTAAAAATATAGGCTATTTTTCCATTGCTTAGGTGTTATTGAGAGAGATCAAGAATATAGAAAAGAAAAACATAAAGATAATTGAGGTTTACTAAAAGTTTTGGGGATTGGTAAAGTCAATCAAAAGTATTAAGAACAGCCCAAGGTAAGCTCTGATAATAGTTTAACAATACAGAGGTGATGTTGGAATACGAAACTGATTCATTAAGTGAAAGAAGTCTTGAAGCCAAATCTTTTTATGTTCATATTTGGTGCTGATAGAGTGAGAAAGCAAACATCTCTATCTTTGCTTTACCTTAGCCATCCACAGAGATGGTTCCTTAGACCTTACCACCTCCCCCTATTGCTACTTTCATGATGTTGTACTCAATAATATCCTTCTGATCGTAATTTCAAGAAAAATTTTTCTCTTTCACTCTTAATCCTTTCAAACATACTCTTCATTCTTCTTACAACTTATTACATTGCATCCTTCTCACAATTGCTGTTTGTGTTTATCCAGTCCATACATACTCCAATCTCATTTCATTACTTTCTTAGTCTTGGTTCCATGTTTAACCAATTCAGTTATGATCTATCCTCCACTCTTAGCACCTTGCCCTCTGTTCTTCTGCTCTTCATTGCCCTGCCAATTCCCAATTCTTGATAATCCCACTAGCTGCCTTCTCTGTTCTTATTCCTGAGTTGGAGAAAGAAGTACAACTTCCTGAGGGAAAGGATTTTTTCATTTTTGTCTTTTTATCTCCAGTGCCTAGCATAGCGCCTTGTACACAGTTGGCAGCTAATAAACTGAAGGCATCCAACCATGACGATTGGGTCCCCTACAAATATCTGTTCTTCATTCTCAATTAGTCTCTCAGTGTTGTTTGTCTTCCTTGATTTACTTTGTCTCACATTCCCCAAAGTGGCTGTTCGAAACATTTCCTTCAGTCTTCAATGTCACTACCAGAAGCAGAGAGTCACCACCTCTTTTACTGAAAAAATTGTAGTCATCTGTCATTAATTTCCTTTTCTTTCCTGCTCTGTACTTCATAGCCCTCCAAATTCATACCAGTCTTCTCCGTTGTTCTAGTTGCTGCAGAAAAGATGGCTCTTCTTAACAAGGCTAACTCCTTCATTTGTGCCTGTGATCTCTAATCTCTTCTAATGGCTTGCCTCATGAGCCATTCCATCTTTTTTTGTCTTTCCTCTACTACTGATTCTTTTTCTGCAGCCTGCAAATATGCTCATCCTTGTAAAAACAGCTTTTACTTGACTTTGAGATCATCTTTAGCTATATCATCTTACATTTTTCTTCACTTTCACTGTCCTAGAAAAGTGAATGAATGAATTTGAAAAAACAAGCATTATTTAGAGCTTACTCTGTGCCAGGCATTGGGCTAAGTGCTTGGGACACGTAGACAAACAATACTAATCCCTACCTACAGGAAGCTTAGATTCTACTAGAAGAAGATAACACCAAAATGGGGAGCTTAAGTTGGGAAGTAGGTGGTTGGGGAATTGGAGTAGGATTAAGGGTACCCTTAAAAGATCTACTTACACATGTTGGCTCTACTCCCTTCTCAGTTTCTTGAAGTCTACTAATCATATCTCTGCTGAAAGTGGTCTCTCCCAGAATAACCAGTGATCTTTTAACTACTAAATTTACCATTGTTTTAAAACTCAGTCCTGTTTTCCCTGAGCTTTCTGTACTTGTTGGCAGCCTCCTCTTTCTAGACATTCTGTTTCCTCTTTGTCTTCTGAGACACTGCTGTCTCTTCTGGTTCTCTTTATACCTGCCTTTGCTGAATCATAGTCCAAATATTCCTTTCTTTCGGTGTGAGTGTTCTCCATGGACCTCAGGCCTAGGACTTCTTTCTGTATATTTGCAACCCTGATGAGTTCATCTATTTCAGTGGGCTTGCTTATCATCTTTATGCAGATGACTTTCAAATCTATACATCCAGCTTAACTCCCTCTTCATGAACTTTCAACCTGCATTGCCGCTGCCTGCTTGACATCGCTACCTGGATGTCCCAAAAAAATCTCAAATTCAACATGTCCAAAGTAGAATTAATTATCATCTTTCCTATATCAGACTCTCCTCCAAATTTCTTTATTCCTGTTGAGAGTACCTTTGTCCTTTAGTCAACTAGATTCAGTCTTGATTTTTCCTTCATCCTTATCACCTATATCTAGTCAGTTGCTAGCTGTAGTTGACTGGATTGATTGGATTTAAATACTCTATAATCACTATACATTATTAAATTGCAATTTTCGTTACTATATTTTCTTGCTTGTCTAGTACTTGACCCAGAGGAAACATAATAGCTCTCTTCAAGTATTTGAAGGACTTTGAGGTAGAGGAGGGATTAAATTTGTTCTGTTTGACATCAGAGGGATGGAAACAAAACCAGTGGGTAAAAGTTAAAAACAAACTTGGCTTTATGTCAGGATAGTCTTCCTAATATGGCCTGTTCTTGCTTAAGTGGACTGTTCTGCAGACCTCCTCCTCCTTCTATGGCTCTGCTCCCTCTCCTACCCCTCCTCCACCCCCCAGCCAGAGTTCCTTCGGTGCCTCGTGGGGAGTACTCCTGGCAAGGGTCTGGCCTGCCATGGAATGAAATTTGCATAATGCTTATCTAAAGCAAGAACTGTCTGCATTTAGAGATGTCCAAAAGTGGAATGGTCTGCCTTGAGATTTGGTAGGTTCTTCCTCCTTAGAGGTCTTCAAGCAGAAGCTGGATGACCGCTTGTATATGTTTTAGGGAGATTCCTTTTCATTTATAGACTGGACTAGATGACCCCTGAAGTGCCTTCCAACTCTCAAATTCTGTGTTTCTGTGACTTTCCCACAGCAGCTTTCACATCTACCCCCTTCTTGCTACTCAAATGGCCACAACCCTGGTATAAGTTTGTTTTACCTCTTGCTTGAACTGTTGTAGTAGGCAATTAATTAGTCTCCGTGCTTCTAGTCTTTCTTTTTCAAGTCCAGTCTATTCTCAACATAGCTGCCAAATTGATATTTCCAAAAACAAATGTGACTGTATCACTGTCCAGTTAAAAACAATCATTGGCTTCAATAAGCCTGTTTCCTCAAGGATATAAATGCAAGCTCCTTGGCCCAGCTTTTAAGGCCCTGTACAATATGAGCCCAGCTTCTACCTTTTTAGCCTAATTTCACATTACTCCCTTTTATGCATTCTACTTTACAGCCATAATGGACTACCATCTCTTCCCTGAATTCTTCATTCCATCTCCAGATTATGTGCATTTATATGAGTTGTTCCTCATGCCTTTTCTATTTAATTCAACAAGCATTTTAAAGTGTTTATTACATATCAGGCACTGTGGTAAGCAACAGTGATACAAAGAAAAGCAAACCAGTCCATGACCTCAAGTAGCTTACATTTGGCAGGGATAGAGGCAGCAAACAACATGTATACAAAAAAATAATATAAAAATCTATACAAAATAAATACAAAGGAACTTTTTAGAAGTGGAACATAACAACTAGGGGAATTAGTAAAGGTTTCCAACTGAAGGTGGTACTTGAACTGAGTCTTGACTAGAGTTAGAGTTTCCAATAGGTGAGATGAGGAGAGAACACATTGCAAACTTGAGGGACAGCCTATGCAAAGGCATAGAGACAAGAGCTAGACTGTTACGTACAGAGAATAACAAGTAAGCCAATTTGTTTGGGACATATAGTACTTCAGAGGGAATAGTACGATCAGATAGGTTAGATAGGGAAAGATAGGTTAGAACCAGATTGTGAAGGGCTTTAAATGTCAGGCAGCAAAAATTTTATGTTATCGAAGCCTCTGAAATGAAATGAAAGCCTCTGAAGTTTCTTTTGTCACTTTCCAAACTTTGAAGTTTCAAAATGTCCCTTTTGCAGCTGTATGGAGGATAGATTGGAGAGGGGATAGGTCAAATGCAGGAAGACCAATTATGAAACTATTACAATAGTCCAGATGAGTGTTGATGAGGGCCTGATTCAGGGTGGTGGTTGAGTGAATTGGAGAGAAGAGAATGGTTGTGAGAGATGTTGAGGAATTAACAAAACTTGGCAACTGATTTGTTAGGAAGTGAAAAATCAAAGATGACTCCTGCATTGCAGACCTGGGTGATTGAAAGAATTGTGCATGGTGCCCTGACAAAGAGAGGAGCTAGGAGGAGAGATGATTTAGGTAGAAGATAATGAATTTTGAATTTGAGATGCCAGTGGAACTTCGAGGTGGAAATGTCCAGCAGGCAGCTGGAGATGCAGGAATAGAGTTCAGAGACCTAATAACTGGATATGTAGATTTGGGAGTTAATCTATATAAGCTATAGTTTAACCTATGTCCATTGATGAAATCATGAAGAAAGTGAGTGGAAGAAAAAGAAGAGAAGAGGGGGTACATCCACACATAGAGGATGCATTAGATAATGATCCTTCAAAGGAGATTAAGAAATATCAAGCAGACAGGAGGCAAACCATGATAGAAATAGTATCACAAAAACCTAGAGAGGAGGGTAGTGTACCTAAAAGAAGGGGAGGTGGTCTGGTCAGCTGGATCAGATACTGTGAAAAGATCAAGAAGGGATGGGGAATGAGAAAGGGCCATTTAATTTAGCAATTAAAAAATCATTGCTGACTTTTGAGAGAGCGATTTCAGACAAGTTTGAGGATGGAAGTCACATTATAAGGAATGGAGAAACAAATAGGAGATCAGAAAGAGAAAAAATAGATCACTTTTTTCCTGGAGTATACTTCTCATCTCTGTTTTTTAGAATCCTTATCTTCCTTCAAGGTGCAGCTTAGAGGTTACTGGAGTCCACAAAGCCTTCCTTTTATCTTCCCTGGAAATCTCCTTTATCTCTCTCAGTTAACATTTTTCTCCATTCTCAATTTATACTGTATTTATTTATCTGTGTGCATATAACATACTGTTAAGAGAATACAAGCTCCTTTAGGGCAGGTACTTTTTCATTTTTGTCTTTGTATCTTCAGTGCCTTACACATACTAGGCTTAATATATGTGTTGAATTGAGCTGAGGAAAGCAAAATCTAAACTTTCATTACATTTCCTTCAGTGTGCTATAAAAGAAAAAGCAAATAATTTAATTTTCATTTTTATATAGCTTGCCTACCTGAAAGACTATAATGAAGATCAAAAAAAAGCAATTGAAGTTGCATATGCCATGGTAAAGCAACCACCATTAATTGCCAAAATCTGTCTGATTCATGGACCTCCTGGAACTGGCAAATCAAAAACTATTGTTGGCCTATTGTATCGTATTCTGACAGAGGTAGGGTGTGTGTGTGTGTGTGTCTGTGTGTGTATGTATGTGTGTGATGAGTTATATTTTGTGGTATATACCAAATTTCTTATGTTAACTTTATTCAGATTATCATCGGTAACTATGTATTGACATAGTTTTTGCACTTTTACTATATGTCTGTGATATAAAACTGCTATTTCACAATGCCTATTAGAAGAATGGCCATGGAAGAAGGAAACTTTTGAGTTGACAGGAAATAGGTTTTAATATATCTATGACAACCGCAAATTTTAAGAACATGACTAATTTTTTCAGACAGTAAGACAACAAAAGACATTTAAAACTGAATGGAGAACTAAGAAGTAGCATGTTTCCTATGTGTAGGATAAACACGGCTTTATACAAGATAAATAGAAGTAATCTACAGAGGGAAGGTATTAGAATTAAGAGGGATAGGGGAAGGCTTCCTGTAGAAGATGAGATTTTAGCTGGGCCTTAAAGGAAGCCAGGTAAGGCAGGAGACAGAGAAGAAGAGGTAGAGTATTCCAGGCATGGAGGACAGCCAGTGAAAATTTCTGTAGTCAAGAGATGGAAAGTCTTGTTCAAGGAAAGCAAAGAGGGCCAGTGTCACTGGAACAAAAAGTATATGGGGACGGGTAAGGTGTGAGAAGACTAGAAAAAGGGGTGCAAGGGGAACATGAGGAGGAGACTGATGAAATGGTACTATGGATAGAGTGCCAGGCCTGAAATCAAGAAGAGTTGGCTTCACATTCTGCCTCAGATACCTGCTAGCTATGTGACCCTGGGAATGTCACTTAACTTTTGCCTGCCTCAGTTTCTTCATCTGTAAAATGGAGATAATAATAGTACCCACCTCCTAGGATTTTTGTGAGAATAAAATGAGATTCTGTTTATGAAGCACTTTGTAAATGTCAAAGCACTATATAAATGCTAGCTGATGATGATGGTGATATTGATGATACGATGTAGTTGACGTACTTTGCAGCATTAAATTAACAAGCCAGGAAACTTTCCTCCTTCCATTCATTTTAAAAAACCCATTAAAATGAACTCCGAGAGACTTTTCTAATTTATTTGCAGTGGAATTTGTGTTTACCCAATGTTATTGAAATAGACACATTTGTTATTCAGAGATTTTTCTTATAATGAGTCTGTGATGGAATTTGCCCTGTAACAGTCGTAATGACTTTGTCTTACCCTCCAAACCCTCTCCTCTACTAACTTTCCTTATATTCATCGAGGTCACCACCATTCTTCTAACCTCTCAGGTTCATGGCCTCATTGTAAAACTGAAACTGCCCTTCTCAAAATTACCAGTTTAATTGGTGACACTTAATTTCAAAATCTAATAGGCCTTTTTCAGTCTTCATTCTTTTGTCATCTCTGCATATGACACTGTTGACTATCCTTTCCAGTTTGCTCTTTTTCTGGGTTTTAATGACACTACTGTCTCCTCTTCTCCTCCTACTTGCCTATCTACTTCATTTCAGTCTCTTTTCCTGACTCACCTGCCATATCATGCTCCCTAACTCTGGCTATATCCCAGGTCCCTAGGTTCTCGCTTCCCTCCTTACTAAGTACCCTCAGGGATCTTATCAGCTTCCGTGGCTTTAATTATAACCTTTATACAAATGGTCCAACCTGAGTCTCTTTCCTGAGCTTCAGTTGTGAATCACCAACTGCTTTTTGGACATTTTAAAATCGATGTCCTATAGACTTCTTAAACCAACATGATCAAAAAAACCTCATTATCTTTCCCCCTGAATCCTCTCCTCTACTGACCTTCCTTATTTCTATCAGAGGTACCATCGTTCTTCTAGTCATAACTTCATTTCATAACCCCGGCTTCTTCAACTTTTCTCTTTTCCTCACATCACATATGTAGTCAGTTGACAAATTTTACTTTTTCTGCCTCTATAGCATCTCTCCTATCCCACCTCTTCTTTCATCTTCTCCACAAATGAATTTCCTATAGTGCAGGTCTGACCAGGTCAGTCACTTACTCAGTAAACTCCAGGGGCTCCTCTTGCATCAAATATAAACTTTTATTTGGCTTTGAAAGTCCTTCATAATTAGGTCTTGCTTTTTCTAGCCTCATTATGCATAACTCCCTTTCCTGCATTCTCTGGTCTGGCCAAACTGACCGCCTTTCTGTTTTTCACACATGATACTATAGCTTCTGCTTCCAGGACTTTGCACTGGCCATTTCCCATGTTTGAATGTACTTTCTTTTCTTTTCTTTTTAAAAATAATTAATTTATTTATTTTTAGTTTTCAACATTCACTTCCATAAGATTTTGAGTTTTAAATCCCCCTCCCACCAAGATGATGTACAATCTGATATAGGCTGTACATATACATTCATGTTAAGCATATTTTCCCGTTAGTCATGATGTAAAGAACAGTTAGAACCAATGAGAGGAACCACAAGAATGAAATAGTAAAACAAAACAACAGAGGAAAAGAAGAGCAAATAGTATGCTTCCATATGCATTCAGACTCCATATTTCTTTGTCTGGGTGTGGATAGCAATTTCCATCATGAGTCTTTTGGAGTTGTCTTTTGTATTGCTGAGAAGAGCCAAGTCTATCAAAGTTAGTCATCCCATAATGTGGCTGTTACTGTGTACAGTGGTCTCCTGGTTCTGCTTATTTCATTCAACATCAGTTCATATAAGTCCAGGTTTTTCTGAAGTCTGCCTGCTCATCATTTCTTACAGTACAATAGTATTCCATTACATTCATATACCAAAACTTGTTCAGCCATTCCCCAATTGATGGGCATTCCCTCAATTTCCCATTCTTGGCCACCGCAAAAAGAGCTGCTATAAATATTTTTGTACATGTGGGTCCTTTTCCTGTTTTTGTGATCTCTTTGGGATACAGCCCTAGAAGTGGTATTGCTGGGTCAAAGGGTAGGCACAGTTTTAGAGCCCTTTGGGCATTTTTCCAAATGGTTCTTCAAAATGGTTGGATCATTTCACAACTCCACCAGCAATGTATTAGTGTTCCAGTTTTCCCACATCTTCTTCAGCATTTATCATTATCTTGTTTTGTCATGTTAGCCAATCTGCTAGGTGTGATGTGGTTTCTCAGAGTTGTTTTGATTTGCATTTCTCTAATCAACAGTGGTTTACAACATTTTACTTTCTTCTTAGGTTTGATTCATAAAATTCCTCACTTCTTTCAAGATGCAGTTCAAACATCCTCTTCTATAGCCTTTCCTGATCCCTCCAACAAGTAATGGCCTTCCTTCCTAACTATGTTGTATTAACTACCTTGTATTTATATATTTAGGTATTTATATATTGTCTCCCTCGAGAGAATGTAAACTCCTTGAGAGCAGATTGTTTCATTCCTTTGTAACCTCAGCACCTAGCACAAGACTTAGCATATATAGTAGTCATTTAATAAATACTTATTGGTTGGTTAGTTAAAACTTCTAACATTGAGAAGAAAATTATTCTGCATTGCTGACTATCAAGAGTCCCCAGTTCCCCCCTTTCCCTTCTCCCTTCCCCCCTGTTTTTTTTTTTCCTGGCTAGGCAATGGGGTTAAGTGACTTGCTTAGGGTCACACAGCTAGTAAGTGTCAAGTGTCTGAGGCTGGATTTGAACTCAGGTCCTCGTGACTCCAGGGCCAGTGTTCTATCCACTGCACCACCTAGCTGCCCCTCTTCCTCCTCATTTTAAAAGATATTACATAATGATTTTTCTAGACTGTAAGCTTTATGAGGGCAGGGACTGTGTTTTATCTAAACTTTCTTTTCTGCCCGATACAGTGTTTTGTATGCAGTGACGCCATAATTTGTTTGTTGATGAATGAGTGAACAAATGAATTATTTAGGGGTTTCTGTTTCAACTTATGAAAAATAAACATGTTATTTATAGAATTGAGGCTGTCCAATATGAGACTGGAAAATTTTGTTGTTTGTGACCTTTAAGTATGAAATGGCAAATATAGTTTGGACTCAAGACATAGCTTAAACATTACATTGCAAAGTAGAACTCATTGTGTCTTTTCTTTGGGAAATCTGTAGAAACCAAGGAAAGGAGATTCAGATGAAAACTTGAATGCCAAAATCAAACGAAATCGTGTTCTTGTATGTGCACCCTCTAATGCAGCTGTTGATGAACTTATGAAAAAAATCATCCTTGAATTTAAAGAAAAATGCCAAGACAAGAAGAATCCCTTGGGTATGGTCTTTTTATTATTTTAGTTGTCTGGTGTAGGCACTTTTGAAGGAGAAATGTGAGACTATTCGTCATGTCAGAATCTCTGTTGGGGACATAGTCCTTATTTAGTAACCTTAACAGTTAGCCATCTAATGGAAGGAAATAGTACTGAATAATTCCTAAATAATTTATATTTTGTGATCGCCTGTCACACTTATAAGTGGCTCCAGAAGCTTTCAGGGGAAAGCAACCTAGGAGCAAAACTTGTTGTAGATAATGCTTATCCACACTCTGATAGTTGAAATTTGATGATGCTGGGTTGCAGGATAGCAATTAGAAGGTAAAAATCGAAGTTAGGTAGTCAACTCTGAATATTTGAGATTGGGAATTCAATTTAGTTTGGCAGATAGAATGGGTTATCTGATGTGAATAAAAATACTTTTATAAACCAAACTTCCTGTAGGTTAAATATTAATCATTTTCTAAAGCATTCAATCTGAGAATCTAGAAAATCAATTTAAAAAAGGTAGATATTTTACTGTCAAAGATAAAGAAAGGGAGAGGAATGGAGGGATTAATCAACAATTTTCCTCATTGATCATCCTATGCAATTTTTATATACAGGAAATTGTGGAGATATAAATTTAGTGCGACTGGGTCCAGAAAAATCTATTAATAATGAAGTCCTAAAATTCAGCTTGGATAGCCAAGTTAACCACAGAATGAGTAAGTATGAACCTAGGCTTATATAGCTTTCCCCACTCATTTTATTATACTCTGCATGACTTGGACGTGAAATATAATTGGCACTCTCTTGGAACTTGGAAGTTACCAGTTAGAATTTGTTTGATTATGTTGTTTAAGCCATATTAGTTGTATTAATTAAGTCTACTTTTTACCTTTACCATTTTAGAAAAGGACTTGCCCAGTCATGTTCAAGAGATGCATGAGAGAAAGGAACATCTGGATATTAAATTAGACAAGCTTTCTCGCCAGCGTGCTTTGGATCGATGTGAAAAGGGGCAAAAGGTAGATACAGTCTTAACTATACATCAGATAGGAAGAAGCTGATTAAGTGATTGACATTTCAGATCAGCAAAAAATAAAGTGTTGATGTTCCAGTGTAGTAAATGGAGAGTACTGGCTCAATTCAGTTCATGTTGAGTTGAATTAAATTTGTTGAATGAATAGAATTTTATTGCTGAAGAGTGGGATAGGTTAATAGTGATTTTGATATCTCTTCCACAGGATAAACTGGCTTTTACTACATTAAAGAAAACTTAAAATCTATAGGAAAAAAATTCATAAATCCTTTTCTCTAGTAATCCTTAGCTTTAACAGTGTGGTTGTTATTTCTGTTTTTTAGAGATCAAATTTAGATGAGGAAATTGCCCGAATTTCCAAAGAAAGGCAGCAGCTCGCTTCTAAAATTAAAGAGGTAATGTATACCCCATGTCAGTTTCTTAATGTCACCATAATTATAACCAATTTTTATCTTCTCTGTAATCTATGAATGACTTTATCACTCCCCAACTAATAGCTTTAAGAAAGGTTAATGAATGTTATCTTTCTTCTTTGCTTTAGGTCTATAAACTCCTTTGTTAAGTGGACTTTGGGATCTTTTTAGTTCTGCAAGAAACAGTATTGGTCAGAATACTTAACGGTGAAAGGAGTGTTAGTGAAAATAAATAAAATTAATATCTACATTTCTTTATACAATGTAAATAATTTGAAATTCATGGTTTGATGTATAGTCTTTTAAAAGTTTTTTATTTGAATGCTTTTGTTGATGGTTATAATTTAGAGTTTTTAAAAAATAGAACAGTGGTTTCTTTGAGCAGTTTACACATTTTGAGATACATGTAAACTGGAATAAAGAAACAAGAGAACAAAAAAGGGGGGTGTTTCTAGCTTTAGTCTTACTATATTGGTATGTACTATTATCTAATTATATGAATGCTTCTATGATGTTATGGAATTTTTTATTTTTCTTTGGATATAAGAATATTGGACTTAAAAGTTTGACAAAAATTATATAGCAGAGATTCTCTGTATAAATCTGTTGAGAGATAGGTTCGTGTCATGACTGTTCTAATCAGACTCAAAGAGGATTGTATACATTGATCATAATAATATTGCAGATTCAAAACAGGTTTTCCTTTAGTATACTCACACTTTTGGATATATTCTTGGCATTCTGAATGTGGGCAAGATAAATGATATTTTAATTTAACTCAGATTTTCAGTTCTAGTCTATATTTTAATGTAATGGAGAAAGATGTTGGATTAAAATTTAAGCTAATTCTATTAACATTCAGTATGCCAGGTCCAATGCACTGGGGCTATAAAGACAAAAATAAAAGTTTTCCTTCGAGGACCTTACATTCTCTTGAGTGTAAACATCATGTACGCAGATAACTAACAACAGTAAACATACACATCCACACACATAACCAAAATAAATACAGATTAATATAAAGAGGAATTAGTTCAGCCTCATCACTTAATTTTTTTTATCCTGAAACTGACAAACTTGAACATTTTAATATAAAAAATACAAAATGAAGATTGTTAGGAGATCGAGAATCTATATTACTGACAACTTATTCTTTTAAAAAGTATATAATAAATTTAACAGGATAGTTCCAACTTTGCATTGCTTGTCTGTATCTCCTTCTCAATTTCCTTCTTTTCTTTTCTGTATATTCTTAAAATTCAACCCCCTTATTTTGCAGAGCAAGAGACTGAAATCCAGAGAGTTGAGTTGACTGAGGTCACAGGGCTAGTGAAGCTGGACCTAGAATACACATCTTCTCACTCCAAAGCCAGTGTTTTTTCCACTGTACCATAAGGCCATTTTTGTTCATGTCTCTGAGCTTTATTTTCCTCATCTGTAAAATGAAAATAATAAAATGTCTGTACTTACTTCACAGGGTTATTATAAAGAAAGAACCTTGCTATATGTGTGTAAGCTATTATTAATTGAGGGATTGGGGATAAGAGGAAAATTATCTAACTGTAGCCCTTCAAATATAGTTATTTGTGTATGAAGCATTTAAAATGTAGGAGAAGAGCAAGAAATTAAGGGGAGGCGAAGAGAGATAGCTGAATGTGAGGGAACTACAAAAGCAATTATATACCAAATTTGAGAAGGTTTACACACATATACAATCATTGGATTGCTGATTGTTACTTCACTTGTGCTTTCAAATTCCTGAAAAATTATGTGTAATATTTTAACATATACTACTTATTTTAGTTGAATGTTATCAACATGGAAGCTGTTTGTGTTGTGATAACTTGAGTACTGGATGTACCTTGCATTGCCTTGCATATTTGCTTAAGAAGATCATTTTAATACAGCTGACTTTGGAGTATGCACACATAGTATTTGGATTATTCTGACCTATATGGATTGTTGTTTCATTTAATTTTAGTTTTTCAATGCCAGGTCAATTCAACAAACCTTTATTAAATGTCTGTAGTTTGTAAGGCATTGTGTTTAGCTACAGGAATACAGAGATAGCAAAACAGTGCCTACCTTCAAGACATGTACATTCTTCTCAGGCGATATAGAATATTCACAGAAAAATATAAGATGATTTTAGGAAGGTCAGAGTATGAACATCAGAGGGAGTAGGAAAGATTTTATGTAGGGGTGGCGCTGAAGTTGAGTCTTTAAGAAGTCAAGGGTTTTAAGGGTGGAAGGGAGGAACAAATTAATTCCACATGAGAGGACAATCCATTTGAAGAACCTCTGATGTATTTAGGCTGAATCTCTGATAAGAAAAAAGTTTTTGAGAGGCAACATTGGTCAGATAGCTGGTATTAGAAAGAGGAAGATCTAGGTTCAAGTCTGCTTCTGGCATTCACTATGTGTATGACCTTGGTCAAGCCCTTTAACCTGTCAGTGACCCAGGCAACTCTTTTAAGACTATAAACTACACTACAGTTGCAAATCTATTTTGGTCAAGGGAGTTCCAAAACGAAGATGATGCTTACACTTATGAAATCCCAGGTCCAGACTATAAAAAAAGAAAAAAGGCTTTTCAAATTGAACGCTACAGATTGCATCCTTTGTGAAACTTCACCCTTGTTCCCTGACTCTGTTTGTATCTTGTGATTTATTGAATTACATAGATCAAAGTTATATACCATTTTTTTATAAGCAGAATATTTACAAAACTTTGTAATGCGCTTGATCTCTAAGTGAAATATTTTTAATCAAAACATTTTACAAATAAAAATATGAGTTAAGGTATGATACAAAAATGTACGAATTAGATGTGGAACCTATATCAAATTGCATGCCATCTTTGGGTGGAGGGGGAGGGATAGGGAGAAAATTTGGAACTTAAAATCTTATGGAAGTGAATGTTGAAAACTAAAAATAAATTTAAAAAAAAGAAAAAATATACAAATTAGAACTTAGTCTTTAAACTAGTTTTACTCATAATATGAGTTAAAATATGATATAAAATATACAAATTAAAACTTAGTCCTAAACTAATTTTACTCAGGCTCTTTTCATCATGAATAGATAGAACCATTTTTGATCTCTAGTTATTCTGACAGATCTTACTGTGAATCAAACCACAAACAATCATCCCTTAGTTTGTATTGATCATGTTTGTACTGTATTCTTTTTGGTGATTTGTGGTATCTTTGATTGTTTCTGCTACTCTCAAGATTTGGGGTTAGGATCGAACTATTTTTCATTTATTTATTTATTTATTTATTGGAGTATGTGAATTTTTTTATTAATTAATTTATTTTTAGTTTTCAGCATTCACCTCCACAAGATCTTGAGTTCCAAATTTTCTCCCCATCTCTCTTCTCTTCCCACTCCAAGATGGTGTGCGTTCTGACTACCTCTTCCCCTGATCTGCCCTCCCTTCTATCATCACCCCCTTCTCTTATCCCCTCCCCTTTCTGTTTTCCTGTAGGGCAAGATAGAGTCTATACCCCATTGCCTGTATATCTTATTTCCCAGTTGCATGTAAAAACAATTTTTAACATTTGTTTTTAAAACTTTGGGTTCCAAATTCTCCCTTCCTCCATGCCTACCACCCTCATTGAGAAGGCAAGCAACTCTATACATGTTACGCATGTGTAGTCATGCAAAACACTTCCATAATAGCCATGTTTTGTGAAAAACTTAACTATGTTTCCCTTCCTCCTGCCCCACCCCCCCATTTATTCTATTCTCTCCTTTGACCCTGTCCCTCCTCAAAAGTGTTTGCTTCTGATCATCCCCTTCCCCAATCTGCCCTCCCCTATATCATCCCGCTGCTCTCTTATCCCCTTCCCCCCTATTTTCCTGTATGGTAAGATAGATTTCCACACCCAATTGAGTATGTATGTTATTCCCTCCTTAAGCCAAATCCAATGAGTAAGATTCATTCATTCCCTCTCACCTCCCCCCTCTTCCCCTCCATGGTAAAAGCCTTTTCTTCCCTCTTTTATGCAAGATAATGAGGATTGAACTAATTATTTATCAAAGTTGCTGTTTTATTGTTAAGAATGGATGTGTCTGAATAAAGGAATTAAATTGCAACTCTATGTTTTCTCTCATTATGCTCCTAGGTTCGAGGACGGCCACAGGAAACTCAGAGTAGCATTATTCTGGAGTCCCATATCATTTGTTGTACACTGAGCACAAGTGGTGGTTTGCTGCTGGAGTCTGCTTTTCGTAGGCAAGGAGGTGTTCCCTTCAGTTGTGTCATTGTTGATGAGGTTAGTGAAACCAGTCAAGGCTATACAGCTATAACTACTTTACTGTCATGATTAATAAAACAAAAATGAAAGAGACTTGCTGAAATATGACTAAAATATGTTTTTTATCAGTAGTATTTTCCTACTTTTTATATACATGCTATTTTTGTGTAGGAAGATGAAAATAGTGACTGTCAGGTACCATCCATTGAATCACTCTCCCAATAGTTGGGATGAATTTCTGCAGATCTAGCCACAATTTTTTGTCTGTCCCCTGTTGTGATCAACAACGTTCATTTGCATGCTGGTTGGCTAGGGTTGGTGTAGTCTGTAGTCTTGGAACAAATCAAAGCTAACTGCTTCATGAAGGGATTGTTGCTTTAGTGTCCTGAGCTAACCAGACAAAAAGATTTCTTTTCTCCTCTGCTCCATGTCAGTTTCTCTGTTTTCCCACACTCTGTGTCTGCTTAATAGTTAGTTCCCAGGGTAAGGATGGATGTGAAGGCTTTTAAATCCTGTCCAAATAAACTCCAAGTCTCTAACCCATAGATAAGCTGTCTTGCTTGTCTCTTTGAATATAGTGGCTCTTATAGATCTCTGGTATCTTCAACGTAGTAGGCACTTAAATATTTGTTGATTTGAATTGAATTATAGTAGTAGTACTTAGATTAGAGAATCATTTCAACCCAGAAAATATTTGTTTTGCTAGATATTTGGGGCAGAAGTGTGAAACTTCTTTTTAGTTAGAATGCTTAGAAATTTATGAACTACACGTAAGTAAACTCACAGAAACACGGATTGAAAAACAGTCTTCCCTCTTGGTTGTTATCAAGGCTGGGCAGTCTTGTGAGATTGAGACACTTACTCCATTTATCCATCGCTGCAACAAACTTATTCTGGTTGGAGATCCTAAGCAGCTTCCTCCCACAGTCATTTCTGTGGTAAGTATTTCTATAGCCATTTATTTGTTAACTTAAAACAAAAGGTTTTTAAAATGGCTTTGTTTGCAATAAATCTTATAGTTACAACTGGACTGATAATTTTTCAAAACACTAATTTTTGGGGGTCAGGAGAGATATGGAAGTATTGGCTTCTCATAGAGAGAAGCAGTATTTGAAAAGATTCGTTTGATTAATACATCTTAATTAGCTTTAAAAGTTGATCTTAATGTGTCTTTTGTTCTAACATTTTAAAATATGAGTTTTAATAACTCCCAGCTTTATATGCTAATTAGTGTCAGGGAAATGAATGGTTGGAAATAGCCTTTTTTCCTACATCTCAAATTTCTTTTCTTTTGAAAATTGATGTTGGTTTTTTTTTTGAAAACAATTTATCTGTGATTTATTTTTAGTAGTTGGATTTTAAAGAAATATGCCAAGGATTAAAAAAAAGTTGTATTGAATTGTTTTGAGGCTATTTGTCTAACTTAGACATCTGTGTTTGGCAGCATGCCAAGATGGCAATTTACCAGCCTTGTAAGAAATTTGCCTCTCTTCTCTTCTTCATCCTAATAGTAAAGGTGGTAGATTTTAAAAAACAAAACAAAACAAAACAAAGATTGGCAGCATTCACTTTGATTATGCACAGTTAGAGGTTAATCTGCTCTACCTACCTCTCCCTCCAGAGCAGAATGAAATTAAAATCCTGATTCCATATTCAGGAGTCAAAAATCATTTGATTCTCCAAATGAGCTAAGAAGTCAATTTCTCTAAGGTTGATTGTAACTACAAGCAATGGTAATTATAAGATTAGTTATTAGTATGAAGAATTTATTTAGTCATTAGTATAAATTTGTACTTCCAAATGGAAGTTGCAGTTCATGTAATCCCAGATGAGAAAAGTAGTCATTCCTGTTTTTGTCTACAGATGTCAGTGTGCTTTTATGATTTTGATTGTAGATTTTCTCTTCATATTCATGTGTGTCTCAGATTGAAAGTAAAATATATTTATTGGCATTTCAACAGTACATACCAGTTTTATAGAGAAGTAGCCCAGAAGTTTGTTCATTGACTAGGGGATGCCTGTTTTGTATTTTAAAATTTGCTCCAAGTATTCTTTTGATGAATAATTGAAAGTTTACAGTATTACAGTTTCTGAGATTAAAAAAGATCACATTTTCTGCCTGATTTTGGCTCTCCACAGATCTGGGAGAGTTTGTGATCTTTTAGAGCCTAGAATTGTGCTGTTCATTTCATGTTTGATAGGTATCTAAAACTTAACATGTTCAAAATGTATTTTAGATTCCCAATAAATATTTTTTATGCTAGTGAAGAAATATAAACTAATTCTAATGAATTACTTCTTTTCTCCCTGGCAGAAAGCACAGGAGTATGGCTATGACCAGTCAATGATGGCTCGATTATACAAACACCTGGAAGAACAGGTGAAACAGAATGTGATCAGTAGATCACCTGTTTTGCAGCTGACAGTTCAATACAGGATGCATCCTGATATATGTCTCTTCCCATCTAGTTATATTTATAACAGAACTTTGAAAACAAACAGGTTAGTTCAATTTGTTAGTGGTTGATGTGTTTTACTTGTAAGTTTAGATGCTTTGAAAGGTTAGTACATTTCAAGCATTGTATTCACATTTCTTTACTATTTCAGACCATTATGAAATTCATAAATTACAACAATTGTCTAGATTGCTATTCTGAGCACCATGGTGGAATATAAGGAGGGCAGTTTTTAACCTCTGTATATCCCACATTTATAGGAGAAAGTCAGTCCCCTAAAATTTTTATAAATGCTAACAGAATGATATTTTGATAACCATTGATAATGCTCATAGATTGACTGAAGAGAGCCGATGTACATCAGACTGGCCGTTCCAGCCTTACCTTGTGTTTGATGTAGAAGATGGTTCAGAGAAACGGGAAAATGAGTAAGTCCTTTTCTTATTCCTCTGGTTCAGGATATGGCTTGGAATGTTTTTTACCTCAAATTTTATCATATTAAAATGCCTCCTACAAACATTGTGCATCATGCTGAGTCACATTGGGCTTTCAACTATCCCAGTTGATGGCTTCTCTATTTTAACTAATGTCTCATTATGGAACTTCTGCCTCAACTGTTCCTCTTAACTTTAACTATCCTTTTAATTAGAATTATTTGCTTAGTTTATGTTTAGAGTCTGTAAATAGAAGATTTTCCTGAGACCCAGTAACAGCAGGAGTGTTGCAACAACTAAAGTACAGGAAGAAGAGGTAGAAAATTCTTTTGCTGTGTCAGAATCTCCTTACATATTCCTTCCTCAGGTGTTTCTTCACCTTTCAGAAGACTCTATCTGTGATGCTTTGTAGGTAAACCTAGGTGCACAACCTTAATAGACAGATACATTTTTTTTTTAAGGCAATTGGGGTTAAGTGACTTGCCCACGGTCACACAGCTAGTAAGTGGCAAGTGTTTGGTCTGAGGCTGGATTTGAACTCAAGCCCTCCTGACTTCAGGGCCGGTGCTCTATCCACTGCGCCACCTAGCTGCCCTGATAGATACATTATTGCTAATGAAGCTTGAGGACTTTACACCTGTTCCCCACAAAATGTATCCTAAATTTGTTCCTTGAGAATAGACACCATTTGCTTTTCATCTTTGTATTCCCAATGATTATCATAGCAACTGGCACAAAGTGGGTACTTAAGTGCTGATTGATTTCCCAGTGACAAGGTGTCCTGTCTCTGCCAAGGTACCTTTTGGGAGGGACTCATCTATCCAAAAGTAGACTTAGGACATTCTCCTGTTCTGAGAATACCTCCATGTTATATTAGGACCAGGTATAGACACATCAAAACTACTATGTTCCCGTCCCAGGGACCTTCTCTAGAATGACTGTCCTTAAGTTCACCTGATTTTCCTTTAATTTAACCAATTAGCCTTTGTCTCATTACAACGCCTTCTTTGCTACTATTAGAATTTTAAAAGTTCCAAGATGAAACTGACCCTTTTAATAAGTCTTAACATGCTACTTATTTCTTTGTAAAAAGCAAATCTTACTGTTAAATGGTTGAATATAACAAGTGTAGGTGCCTCCTAAAATTGAAAGAACATAGTCTGTGGGGAATGGAGCCAATGACAAAGACTAGATGCCCTCAAACTTTAAAGGTTTTGGAGAATCCTAGGAAAGAATTTAAATGTAATATATCTGTCCTTCAGGCAGTGGAGGCCAAAGCAATCACTCTTAAAAACGCATAAGAAAGAGTTGATGACATTTTACCAAATGGGAGAGTATACAGAGAATAGAGAGCACAGGACAGAGGCTAGTGGTTGGTTTGCAGTTAGGGGTTATGATATGTATAATGAACCAAGATAAGAAACTAAGCAGGAATAATCAAACAGGTAAAAAGAGAACCAAGAGAGCACTGTCATGACAACCCTGAGAGGAAAGTATTCAGGAGTTGGGGGCAGGGGCAGTTGTCAGTGGTGTCAAATGCTACAGAGTAGACCAGAGGATTGAGAAAAGACCATCAGATTTGACTGTTAAGAGATTATTGGTAACTGAAGGGGGCACTTTGGAATCAAGAGTAAGGAGATTAAGCTAAGAGACTAGAAAGATATTGGTGCCCTCCAGGGAAAAAAGGGAAATTCAGAAGAGGTATGAATCTTTGGTGAAAGATAATGTAATCACAAGCCACCTCTTCTTATTCATCCTGTGCTACTGACTCTTTCTCAATGAATAGTGAAGAGGGGCAGAGAAGGGGAAAGGGAATGGGCTTACTTACCTGCCATTGCCCCAGAGCATAAAGTCTACAACTGTGGACCAACTATTTAATCTTCTTTCTTCAGACTTCACTCCCATGCCTCTGCTATGTCATTCCTCCCTCCTTGCAAGTGTCTTCTCCCATTGGTGAGTTCTTTCAGCCTCCATTTTGAAGACAGATCCTGACCAGCCATCCTTTACTCTCTGTCCTTTGCACCAGACTTTAGCAGCTTTCTCCTTCTGACCCTCCAACCCTTTCTCTCATTGATGGGTTCTTCCCAGAACCTCCATTTGGGAGAAGAGTCCAGACCAGCCATCCCTCATTCTCTGAATTTCACCACTGTGTCCCCAAAGGTACCTCTTCCCCTGCCGTGTGGAAGCCTTTCCACATAAGACTATAAACTTCTTGAGGATCAGGACTGTTTTGTTGTTGTTGTTGTTGATTTTGATTGTAGTTGTATCCCTGATGTTTACTTCAGTGTTTGGCACGTAGTAAGCACTTTATATATACTTGTTGACTGACTAAGAGGAACATCGTTATTATCATCATCATCATCGTATCAGGCATTTATATAACATTTTAAGATTTGCAAAGTGCTTTACAAATGTCATTTCATTTGACCCTTAAAAAAACCATGGGAGGTAGGTGCTATTACTACCCCCATTTTACAGAGGAGGAAAGGGAGACAGGCAGAAGTTAAGTGACTAGCAGCTGGTTAATGTCTGAGACTGGATTTGAACTCCAGACTTTCAGACTCCAAGTCCAGTCCATCCACTACACCATTTAGCTGCCATATAGTTTTCCTCACTAAAATCTGTTAGTCCTATAAGATTCTTCCCCCTTATCATAATACATTTCCTCAGTTAGGTCTCTAGGACTCAGGACATGATTGTTCATCACTCTGTGGACAAGGATATGGGTGTAGTATCCCACTTGAGCTAGTATAAGGGTTGGTTGGTATTGTCTGGGAAACTTCAACTAATAAAGATCATATCCTTCAGGGGAATAGAAAACGTAGTCTTTGCTAACACCAAGATTGAGATGCCTTTGTCATAAGCCTAGTTATCTGTATACTTATACTTTCTCTCTGAGGAATCTTATTCTTGCGTCACTCTCAGTTTTTCTTCTCCTTCTCTTACTTGCTTCTCAAAATCCCTTTTGAGCTCTTCCAAGGCCTGGGACTGATTCATATTTTTCTTGGAGGCTTTGGATGTAGGAGCTTTGGCTTTGTTGTCTTCCTCTGGGTTGTATGTTTTGATCTTCTTTGTCACCAAAGTAAGATAATATAGTCTGACTCTTTTTGCACTGCTTACTCATGATCCCGGCCAATAACTTGAGTTTTAACTCTTTGTTAAGGTAAAAGTCCACTTCCAGTGTGAAGAGTGTACTGTCCCAAACTTTGGGGGTTTGTGCAGCTGTTTTCAGAGGTACTTCTAGGGACTTGTAAATTTTCAGTTCTTCCAAGGTGGTATGATAAGGGGCAAGGTGTCTTCTCTCCACCACCACAACAAGCTCCACCGCACCAGCGTTCCTTCTCCCCCCAGGACCACACCTCAGAACTGTGACCCAGATCCAAGCACAGGCAAACGAGAGATTCCTGCCTCAGCCCTGGCAAAGAGATCCCTGCAATCCCCCTGTGATCAGCCACTCGATTCCCCCTCAGTCTGTGGGCTGGAGGCTCAGGAAACAGCTGCGGGCCCAGAAGCTGCACTTGAGACTTGGAGCTGAGACCTAGGTCCTTCTCTCACCGCAGACACAGACTTTTCCCACTGACCTTCTAAGTTGTCTTTGGCATTCAGGGGTTGGGAAGTCTGGAAACCACCACAGTTGCCCGTGATTCAGCCCTCTGAGGCCTGCTCCAGGGTCGCTGCGGCCTGCGCGCCCACGCCACACTGTACTCCTCTCCCCGCCCGGCGCAATATACCTTTCTGATCAACCATCCAGGCTGTCTTTACCTGGAAATTTGCTTCACTCTGTCTTTTTGTGGGTTTTGCTGCTTTAGAATTTGTTTAGAGCCATTTTTTTAGGTATTTGGAGGGCTTTGGGAGAGAGCTCAAGACAGTCACTGCTTTCCCTCCGCCATCTTGGCTCTGCCCCTGTTTCAACAGATTCATTCAGATCATAATTAGCATGCAGTGAGTCTATTTTGTCACTGGTTTGCATCTTCATTTTGACCTCAGCTTTACAGCTGAGTGAGAACAAAACAAAAACTTGCCACTTCCTTGATAGATAATGAATAATATAGAAAGAGAATAGAAATATATAGTGATATATACACATTTCTACTTTCTCATAACATTGTTTAATTATTTCTACTTTTTCTTCTTTATGCCTATACATTCATCACTATGTCTACTATATTTCCAGTTCCAAGGCTATACCTGAGTTTTCTGTTAATGTTCTTACGGAAAGCAAGTGAAGGGTTTTAAAAAATATTTTTTCCCTAAATCCATGAACAGTCTCAAGTCAGACAAGTCACAATTGACTTAACCGATTGTTAGGAAGGCGTTATTAAAAGAGCAGTTGTGACTCAAGTTCAGTTCTGCAAAAATTTTTTAAGTACTTTTTGCAATGCACTGTTTTCAAAAATGGGATGGAAATTCAAAAACAAAATGAGTCCCCACCTTGAAGGCGTTTCCTTGTCCTCTCCTGGCTTTCCTTTTAACTCCTACCATTCTATAATATTGGTAAACCTGGTATTACAGAGCCAGAGTCTTAATATAGGCAGAACCTCTCCTCCTAGTACCTATAACCCTTCCTGAGTAAACAGTTTTATTTTGGCCAGGACGTGTTTTATATATTTTTTGAGTCATGTTCCTTCACTTGTACTAAAATAGTTAAATGACTTCTGTTCAGTAGACCTATTTTGAGGACCCAAATTTTCATTAGAACAAAGTTTCTTTTTCTAACCATGTGTAAAACATCAGGCTCTAAATGAGTTCTGAGTTGCATAAGAAATGAAGAATTTTAAAATGATGTTTTACTTAATTCTCATTATTTTTTGAAGACCAAAATAACCAAATGAAATTTTGTCCATCTTTTTTCTGTATTATAGACAGTTTTTTTTTTTGTCACTCAAAGAAGTTCTGTTACTCTTCTTTAATTGGCTAGTGACTATTCCATTGCTAGATAAATCTGATTCTGTTTATTGAACTTCTGTTTAGTATTTAATTTCCCCATTACAGATTGATTTTCATTTCTTTCATTGTATTGTATTCTGTAATAGTGTTGGCTTACTCATTTAGAAATTGTTGAGATTTTAATGGCTATATTCAAAGCTTTTCATATAATTATATGGCCCACCTGTAAATTAATTTAGCATTTATGGATCTTGCTTCATACTTGAATCATGTAACATGTCCTACCCTGGACAGATGTTGGTGGCAGGAAACCTTCAAAGGGGAAGGACCCTGGCTTTTATTTTGCATATTGTTAGATAACTTATAGTAAATCAGACTACTAGTATCAATGCTCAGCAATTGTAACTATTATCAGGTAAGTATTTCAAAACTTATTGAGATTCTGGACAACAAAATATGGACCAATATTAGTTATGTAAACTATATTTAATTGGCAACTGATGAATATCACTGATTTTTTATGTTATTTTTCTCATATAGCTCATATGTTAATGTCCAAGAAATAAAACTAGTAGTGGAATTAATTAAGCTGATCAAAGACAAAAGAAAGGATATTACTGTACGTAACATCGGTATAATCACACATTACAAAGCACAAAAGATGATGATTCAACAGGAATTGGACAAAGAATTTGAAAGAAACAGGTAAAGGGGCCTTAAGGAAGCAGCAAATATACACTATTATTTTTGAGAAAAATGACAAAAGAGAAGACTAAAGGGGAGGGCAAGGCAGAAAAAATATGGTATGGAAAAAGAAGGATAGGATAGCAGGGGAGTTAAGCAGAGGGTTGGGTTGGGGTTTTTTTGTTTGTTTTGTTTTTTAGGATTTTAGAGAACTGTGTGTAGGCACAGGGAAGTGTAGAGGATAATTGATAGAGTGGAGTCCCACATGTAGTAAGAAGTGATAGAGTCAGGACCATAGATAGCAGGATTAACTTTGGTCAGGGAGACAAGGAACACTTTAGAGGCAAGAATGGAGGAAAGAGAGTTGGTAAAATTCAGGGGAAGTTTGAGGTAAAGAGGAGAGAACTTGAAGGAGGAATTCATGTGATGTGGCCTCCCTCATTTTGAAAATAATTCATAGGTGAAGTCATCTGCTAAAACTCAGGGGGGCTGAATTGGGCTTAAGGACTTGAGGATAGTGTAAAAAGTTTTAGAATAGTAATTGTGGAGAATGCAATGGTTATCTAGGAAAAAATGAGGAATCCTGCCCCACTCTCCCCACCCCACCTCTACCCCTGAAGCCCTGACTTGTTATTTAGGGACTTGGTGAATTCTCTTTACACATAGCAAAGTTGAGTAAAAGCTACATCTGCATTGAATTTAATGGCTAATTCAACATTAGTCTTTGTTAGGAAACTTAAAATATAATGTTCAAAGTGTCCTTAATTCTGTTTAGGGAGGTGAGACTCTTCCCCACCTTTGTTCTTTTTGACTTCTATATTTACTGCTTTGAGCTTCAGCTTCTTTGTGTATAAAAACAAGATTATGTTTTATTACCACTCTCTGTCTCAACAGGGATGTTGAGGATTAAATATTAAGAATATGTCACTTTCAGCTACTCAAAGATACTGAGTGTTTATATAAACATAATACATATTTAATTATAAAATACTTAAATTTCCAAGGCATTTTTAGTACTTTACAATTTATAAAATGTATTCACATGTGTTGGAAGGCAGTATACAATAGTGGTTAGAGGGCTGATTTTAGAGTCAGAAAAGCCTGGATCCATATCTTGCCTTTTCCATGTATAACCATGGACAAGTCACTTCTCAGTGTCCCCAGGCAATGTTCTAAGACTATATGTTAAAGATGAGTTGCCCCATCTCTATCTGTAGAGAGAGTTTCCATACTGGGAATTCTTTATACCAGGGCTTTTTCTGTAAAGGGCCAAATAGTAAATATTTTAGGTTTTGTACTCCAGAAAGAAAAACTAGAGATATTATGTAGATACTGTACCGATAATAATAAAATAGAAAGCAAATTTCCACCAATTTTTATTGACAAAATTCAAAATATAATAATAATTAATGATGATAATAATAATAATTTTTTTGGAATACAGGTCTAGTAAGGAGAAGAATGGAATTACTGGGGAGAGAATAACATTTTACCTAATTGAGGTTCAAAGTTAATGTTCCCTATCATCAAATTTTTTGCAAAATGTTCTTCTACTAGTGCTGATCTGTAATGACATTTTATATATTTAATCTTTGAAAATGTCTTTTCACGCAGATAGGTACTGCCAAATACTGATATCAGTCCATGAACACATGATTTTAATTGAGCTGAAAGGCTCATAGTCTTAAGCAAATTATTTTCTCTGGACACATTTTTTTGGCTACTGTAGTCAAATATGATTTAATTAACTCACCATTAGTGAATGGCTTTCTTTACTTCCTTAATAAGTAATCAACTTGGAACATACTTTGGTTGCAGCTTCATTTTCCTTTTTAATTTTTGTCAAGAAGTTTTGCTGATGAGGTATTCTGTTTTAAATTTTCTAATCTTTCTGACTATTGCTTTCCTCTGAGTTGGGAATATTGTGATGAGTACTTAATCTGATAATATTGACTTATTCTGTATTCTTTTAGCAAAGCTCTGGTGTCATTGTATAATAAAAACAATGCTTTGCTGTTTGATTCTGTAACAAAATAATTTATACCCCACTGTGCCTTAAAAGCACAATATTCCAAGTCCACTTTTGTTGTTTTGATATGATGGGTATATACTGGAAATAAAAAAAGAAGTCACAACAATATGTGTGGTACTCTGCTCTAGAATTATAACTGCATCACTATGATATAAGCAGCAATTTGAAACCTTGAGAGCTTCATATATATGTTCTACTCAACTCTGCCATTGTAATGCAAAAGCAACCAATATGTAAACCAGTGAACAGGCCACAATTTGCCAACCCCTGCGGAAGGAAGTCAGAGGTGGAGACAAAAATACGAAATGTATGTATTATTTCATTTGAAATTCACAGCAGGCCAAAGGTAGGTAGAGCAGGTCCTATTGTTTCTATCTTACAGATAAGGGAAATGAGTCAAAGAGGTTAAGTGATTCATGCAGACTTACAGAACTAGGACTAGAACCCCAGACTCCTAACTTATTGGTTGAGTGCCTTTCCCTTGTATACATACTTCTCCATAATGAGATTTTTTTTTTTCTTCTTAAATAGGCCAGGGGAAGTTGACACTGTGGATGCATTCCAGGGTCGTCAGAAGGATTGCATTATTGTTACATGTGTCAGAGCAAATACTTCACAAGGCTCAATTGGGTATGTCTCTCATTTCTCTTTTTATGTGTTTCGAAGGTCAGTCTTATTTATGGCATTAGACTACCTTATTAAAAGTTTATCTGTTGTATTAAAAAAAACTTTTCATTGCTAAAAGTGATACTGTTTGCTTTTACCACTCTAAAGCTTGTTATGAAAAATGAAAGCTTCCTATACAGTATCTGTATTTTGTTTCTTTTAAGAAGTGGAATAGATCCACTGATACTTCTTTCAACATCTTTTATATTGACTTCATTTTGCAATATGGATCTGTTCTTTGCTTCATTAAGTAAATTTAAGATAAACCAAAGCAGATTAAGTATATTTGCAATAGGAATTGCTATTTTGAAGTATATGGTTGTTTCTTAGCATGCAGGTTTTTTTCTCTTCATTTCTAGTTGCCACTTCTAGTCAAGTGTAATGTCTGACTGTTTACTGTTACTGCAGTTTTTAAAGAGACTAAGGACATGGCAGTGCTTTCTGACATGATTAGGTGGTATTACTCAGTCATCATGAAGGTACTTTGGTCTGGGGTGGTGATGGGAAGCATAGATTTCCACTGCCTCCTATTTTATCTTTTTTAGGATTAATAAAAGATGGTAGAATAGTGCTTTCCAAGACACGTGTGTGCTATCTCAGCAGCTCCCAAATTATCATTAAAAGGAGAAAAGATTTTAAATATATTGAGTTTAAAAGGCATATATATGAATTATGTCTCATATGTAGTATCTAAGGCTCAGAATCTTCACTGGTGAAATGTATGGTCTCTGCTTTCCTGATTGACTTAGACTTAATGTTGAAAGGTTATTGAGTCACATTCAGAGTTGGCTGAGTTGGAAAGCAGCAGTAATAAACAGGAAATCACTTTTTTGTAGATATACCTGATATGACAAAGCAAGTAAAAAGGGAATTTGATCTTTATAGCAAAGGAGCATCCAAAAATGCTAACATGTAGCCTGTGTCTTTGTTTAAACTAATAAAAGTTTGCTTCTTTAGAAAGAGCATTTAATTTTGTGTCATTTATTAGGTTTCTGGCAAGTTTGCAAAGATTGAATGTAACCATTACTCGAGCCAAATACAGTCTGTTTATCCTTGGACATTTGAAGACATTAATGGTAGGTACCTTGCTTATCTTTTTTTCTTCCTTTGCATCTCTGCTAGAATTTTTCAGTACTTTATCTTGGGGTCTGCTCAGTAATAGGTCTGTTGCAGATTTTTTTTCTGTTAATTTTAATAAACTATCATTTCATTTGTTCCTGAAACAAGAAGTGGAATCCCATATTTTGGGTATATAAACAAAGGGTGCTTCTCTCCTTTGGAATTCCTTCTAGCTCCCCACAAAACTACCGATTTTTTCTCTCTGCCACCTGTCCCAGCATGCATGTTTTCGCTATTGATTTTTCCAGCTCAGTCCAAGATATTGAACAAGTAAGGGTGGGGGGGAAAGGGAGAAGGTTAAGTGTGTCTTTGTTTTTCTCTTCCCTGCTTCATTATTTTAGTACTTTATTTATTACATTATTATTTTGGAAGTCAGCCCTACTGGCTGTCCACTGGTGATGTTTATTCTTAGTTTGAGGTGGCAGTGGACAAATGATAAACCTTCTTTTGACACTTTTCTCTTTTCTAAATAATATGATGACATATAACTAAATCCTCTCATTTTCTTAAATAAATAGTCTAATCGAATTTGCAGGAGAAATAGTAAAATCTCAGGCTCTAGGATTTCTTTTACTTCCACTAGAGGGCATCCAAGTATTGTATTCATCCTTCTTTAACTCAAAAATTGATAGTATTTACAACTCATTGAGACTTTAAATGTCAACTAGTTCAGTACCCTCATCTTACAGAGGAGGAAACAGGCCTAGATGGGGGAAGGGACTTGCCTCTGGTCACAGTGGGTAATGGAGTGAAGAAGATTTGAATTCAGGTCTTTTCATTACAAATGCTCTTGCCATTATGCTGCTTAACTAGATTATGACTTAAAAATTATCTTAACTTTTGGAAGTTAATGCTACGAATAGTGGGGAGGAAAGCGTGAAGCATACTTCCTAAATTGTAATCTGGACTCTTGGAACTTGGTTTCAGCCTTTTTTACATTCAGGTATTCTATTTCCCCATCAAGAAAATGATAGGAGTAGAAACTACATGGGGGAACTAAGGTCAATAGTTTGTTCATAGAATTGTTCTGAGATTGTAGGATTGCATTACTTAACAAAACTTAGGTAAAAAGCAAAAAGATAAGAGCTACACATCTGTGTGAATAACAGTTTATGACCTTCCTATGGGATAAAAATCCGTGGCAACCTTTTCCCATGCTCCATAATGGGTAATACAGAAAAACTCACTCTATAAGCAAAGGCTCATAAACCTCATATGGGGTGTATATACTCCACTTCATTGCTATATGTGACATTCAGACAATACCTCTCCTTTCTCTCTTTTAAGAATTCTCTTTTCTCTACCTCCTTTTCCCCTTCCTCTTGTCTCCCTAACATTTCTTGATGCCCTAACTTTTAGACTTTGTAGCCTTGCCAAGAAGTAAGATGACTTGGAAAATAAACCCCTTTTTCTGTATTTGGAAATGTAAGTCACATTCTTTTCCTCTAACCCATCAACTCTATACCAAGAGGTGGGAGGCATGCTTTTTATCATTGATCTTTTGAAATCACTTCATTCTTCAGAGTTCTTAAACTTTTTGTTGTTTTTTTTTTTGCTTTTTGGTGAGGCAGTTAGAGTTAAGTGACTTGCCTAGGGTCACACAGCTAGTAAGTGTCAAGTGTCTGAGGCCAGATTTGAACTCAGGGCCTCCTGACTCCAAGTCCAGAGCTCTATCCAGTGTGGCACCTAGCTGCCCCTGAGTTCTTAAACTTTTAAAGTTTTTTATTTACATTATTATAGTCATATGATACATTCTCATTCAATTAATTGTGTTATAATACATAACATTCATATTCTAAAATTTATTCAACTATTCCTCAGTTGATGGAAACCACTTTGATTATTTCTTACTTTCTTTTTTCAGTTAACAAACGTTTGTTTTCTTTTTCTCTTATCTCTTCCTTTTCTTCATTTGAAAAAATAAAGACTAGTTCTTTAATAGATAATATTAATTATCTATTATCTATATCTAAGCTAACACTTATATAGTGCTTACTATATGCCAGTCACTGTGCTATTTGCTTTACAATTATCTCATTTGATCCTCACAGCAACTTTGGGAAGTAAGTGCTTTTATTATCCCCATTTAACAGATGATGAAACTGAGGCAAATGGGGCTTAAGTGACTTGCTCAGGGTCAGACAGCTAGTGAGTGTCTGAAGCCAAATTTGAACCTAGGTCTTTAGGCTTAACACGGTATCCTCAGGTAAAACAAATTCCCACATTGGCCGTGTCTAAAAATGTATTTCTCATTCTGCATCTTGAATCCATCACTTCTTAGGAGATGGGCAGTATAAGTGATCCTCTAGATTTGTGGTTGGTCCTTACATTGATTATAGTTCTTAAGTCTTAAAAAGTTGCTTGTCTTTTTAGTGTTATCGTCGTTTAAATTGTTCTCCTGGTTCTGCTTACTCCACTCTGCATCAGTTCATACAAGTTTTCCCAGGTTTCTCTGAAACCATTCCTTTCATCATTTCTTACTGAACAATAGTATTCCCTTATATTAGCATGTCATAATTTGTTCAGACGTTTCCCAGTTAATGGATATGCTCTTAGTTTCTTGTTCTTTGCCACTACAAAAATAACTGTTCTAAATACTTTTGTACTATAGATCCTTTTCCTTTTTCTTTGATCTCTTTGGGGTTTAGATAGAGTAGTAGTATCACTGGGTTGTAGGGTATGCCCAGTTTGATAACTATATGGCAGTTCCAAATTGCTTTCCAGAGTGGACTAAACCAATTCACAGCTTAACCAACAGTTCATCAGATGTGTCTGTTTTCCTTTCAACTCTTCCAACATTTATTGTTTTTCTTTTTCATCAACTTTGCCAGTCTGAGAGTTGTAAGGTGGAACCTCAACTGCTTAATTCACATTTCTTAAATTATTAGTTATTAGAATTATTAGTGAATTAATGATTTGGGGCTTTTTTTTTCCATGTGATTGTTAATTGCTTGGATTTCTTACTTTGAACGCTGCCAGTTCCTTTGGCCATTTTTTATAAATTAGAGAATGGCTCTTAGAAATTTGAATCAGTTTGTTATATATTTTGGAAATGAGACCTTATCAGAAAAACTTGTTGCAAAGATGCTTTCACAATTAACTGCCTTCTAATTTTAGCTGTATCAGGTTTTTTGTGCAAAAACAAATATGTATATTTTATCTTTTGTCTTCTCTCTATATATCCCTCACTTGGCCATGAACTCCCCTATCAGTAGATCTGAAAGGTACTTTTTCCTTGCTCCTCTATTTTGTTTATGATGTGATCTTTTATGTCTTGTCACATATCCATTTGGGGCTTATCTTGGTATGTATAGTGTGACATACTGATCTAAAACTAATTTCTACCAGACTGCTTTCCAATTTTCCTAATTTTTGTCCAGTAAGGCTTTACCTTTGTACACAGGATCTTTGAGTTCCTCAAACACTTGCCTACTATGTTCTTTTGCTTCTTTATGTTCTGTACCTAATCTGTTCCAATGATTTATCTCTCTGGTTTTTTTTTTTTAAACTATTGATCTCTATTTTTTTAATTGGTGCCAAATTATTTTTCTTTTATTTAAATTACTTAAACTTTTTCCTTTCAGATGAATTTTGTTATTATTTTTCCCATATCTGTAAAGTAATCCTTTGGTGATTTGGTATGGCATTGAATGAATAAATTAATTTCGATAGCATTGTCATTGTTTATTGTATTGGCTTGGCTTCAACTTTATTTCCAGTTCTTTGCTAAAACAAAAGTTCTGCTATAAATATATTTGTACATATGACCTCTGTCTTTGACTTCTTTGGGATATGAACCTAGTTGTGGTATTGATGGGTCGAAAAATATGCAGTTTACTGACTTTTGGGGCAGAGTTCCAAATTAACTTCCCAGAATATTTCACCCAATTCACAGCACTACTGTCAATGTATTAGTGTGCAGGTATTCCCACATCCAACCATTGTCATTTTCCTCTTTTGTTATTTTTGCCAATATGACTGCCATGAAGTAGAAACCTCAGAGTTGTTTTAATTTGCATTTCTCTTACTACCACTGATTTGAAGCATTTTTTCATATGGTTTATTGGTAGCTTATCTTTTCTCTTTTGAAAATTGCTTATTCATATCCTGACCATTTGTCTACTGGAGAATGGTTCTTTTCTATTATATATCTATACCAATTTCCTATATATTGTGGAGACCTTTATCAGAAAACTTTACTGCAAAGATTTTTTCCCAGTTAACTGCTTACCTTTTAATTCTACCTGTATTGATTGTGTTTGCACACTTTTCAGTTTTATGTCAGTCAATAAATATTTATTGAGTGCCCACTATATACAAGGCACTGTGCTAAGCACTGAGGATACAAAGGTAAAAGACAATCCCTGCTCTCAAGGAGCTCATAACTATGTACACACAAGCTATATAAAGGGTAAATCTGAAATAGTTAATAGAGGGAAGGCACTAGAATTAATGGGTATCAAGAGAGGCTTCCTGTTGAAGGTGTGGTTTTAGCTAGGACTTGAAGGAAGCCAGGGAAGCCAAGAGGGAGAGCATTCCAGACAGCCAGTGAAGATGCCCCAAGTCAGTAGGTGTAGTTTTTTGTACAAGGAGACCAGTATAGCTGGATCAGAGTGTGTATGGTGGGAGGAAGAGCAGGTAGAGAAGGGAAGAGGTGGTAAGAAGGGACCAGGTTATAGAGAGTTTTGAATGCCAAACAGAGAATTCTATATTTGATCCTAAAGATGATAAGAAAGCACTAGAGTTTGTTGAGTAGGAGAATGACATGTCAGAACTGCACTTTAGGAAGATTTTAACTTTTAACCATTGTTTGTTTAAGGACTCTCCTTTTCCACATAATTATGAAAGATATCTCCTTCCCGTCTCCTCGCATTTCATATTTAGGTTTTGTATTCATTTAAAGGTTATTATGGTATATGGTGTGAGAAGTTGGTCTAAATTTAATTTCTGCCAAATAGTTTTCCAGTTTTCCCAGTAGTATTTGTCAGTAGATAGTCCTTATCCCTCCCAGTATTTGGTGTCCTTGCGTCTATTAAAGACTATGCTACTATGTTTGATTGCTTCTGGGTCTTGTTATCTAATCTGTTCTATTGATCAGATTTTCTGTTTTTTTAACCAGTACTAAATAATTTTGATGTTTACTGCTTTGTAAACAGTTTGAGATCAGATACTAGCTGGCCCACTATGACTTCTAGATTCCTTGCTATCCTGTGACTTTATAGCATGCATCTAAGGATCAAATGAGACATAGCCTTATTTCTAGGTGGTATCCAAGGGTTACTAGGTGGTAATCCAAGGGTTCTCTTTCATCGTTGCCTCTATAACTGTCATAGAAATTTATTTAGATGTATTAAGAAATGGAAGCTATAATCATACACACAGTCCATGTTTAGGTGTTTTTATTTTGTAATCATTTTTCTTCTTTTATTTCAAGGAAAACCATCATTGGAATGAGCTGATTCAAGATGCTCAGAAACGAGGTGCCATTATTAGGACCTGTGTCAGGAATTATAAGTGTGATGCAGTGAAAATTTTGAAACTCAAATCTGTGCCACAGCGAACCCTACCACACCCTCCTACTGTAATGCCAGAAGTCACTAGATCCCAGAATAGCTTACCCATCAATAAGCCAAAAGAAGTGATGAATAAACCTGACAATGGTATTTCTAAGACCACTTCTGTTGCTTCTCCACGGCGCAGCAGCACTTCCTTGTTACCCGCTGACATTCAACCCCTTGACTGCAGGGAAGCTGCAGTTGTTACAAAAGCTACTGAAGTACCTGTTGTCCGGGACCCAAGACTAGCCAAGAGAAATGAGCGTGATGCCACTGAGAAGTTCCCAAGTGATACACAACCATCCAGTAGCCAGCATCCAAGAGTGACAGCACCTTCATGTGAACCTGGCCTTCCTTTAACTCACCAGGACCCCCCCAGTAATATCATACAGCACCTTTTTTCAAAAGGAACAGCTTCCAACAGTTGCAACCTTACAGCACAACTTGAAGCTCCCTCTGCAAGTACCTCCATGCACACAATGAAAAGAAAAGCCAGTGAAGAGGAAGGGTCTGGCTATGGAAGAGAAGTGACATCTTCTAGAGAAGGACAACAAGAAAACCATGGGTATAGAAAAGACTATCATTTAGACAGGGACTATTGCTTGGACAGGAGGAGAAAAGAACACCAGGACAATGATTCAAAAAGAAAAAAACTTTCATAGCTGAGGTCTTGAGTCTCAGTGACAGGCAACATTTACCAAAAAAAAATATTTATTATAAGAAATGCAGCTTTGGGTGCTCAGTTAATAAGAATAGAGATGTTAAATTTATTTTTAAATTTGGGGCCATTCATTTCCCCCAGAACATGGAAGATTGTATACTCTCATTTAAACTTATTTTCTATTGGTAATCTTTACAAATGAGTATGTTTTTCTGTCTCGGATTTCAGAGGACCTTTGTGCATTAATGATAGTATCCTTAGAGCCAGATAAATGAAATGTTGTTCTGTTGTTCTTCCTTTTTAGAAAAGGAAACCAGACTTGGACAAATATTGTAAATGTAGAGATGTACATTTGTATAGGAAACAACAAAACCTTTTTAAGATTTAATCTAGTTGATTTTTTGCCTTTTCTTTCTCCCTAGCCCAAAATGTTTGATCACTTTTCAGCAGAGCAAACTCATCTTTAAAAGTGGGGGTCAAGGGGAGGGGCACCTCTAGTGCTGTCGTAAGCCTGATTTCTTTCACAACATAAGTTGTTTGGAAAAAGCTGAGTTGGTGATAGTGGGTCAGATGTCTCTAGTTCTATTTTAAAAGCTGACTGGCCTCATGGGGAAGCTTTGGGGAAAGCATTTGGTTTATATGGAATTCTGCTTATCTTGTACATTTTTAAACAAGGCTCTTTTGCACAAGATGTTTGGTTTCTACAAGGGCTCATCCACCTGTTTTTACTAAACCCATAACCACCCCAAATTTTCTCTTTCTTGGCAGTATTACACAACTATCCTCGAAGCAGTGAGATAGTATAGATTGAAGGTAATGCTTTAAACAGGGAATAAATGGTAGAAGTGGATGATCTCAGAACATTGTTAAAAACCACAAGAGAAATAAAAAGAAACTGAATACTTCCCTCCTTCTAACTGGAATAGTTTATAAGGTGATTGGGGGTTTGGAAGAGCTGGCAAATTTCCCACATTTTTTAAAAACTGTATAATTTTGATGAATGTATACTGCTATTTTGGTTTCTGTGATGGTGCAGAAAGTAAAAGCAAAGGTTCAAATGCGGCCTCAGACACATAACATTTACTAGCTGTGTGACCCTGGGCAAGTCACTTAACCCCAATTGCCTCACCAAAAAAAAAAAAAAAAAAGATTTCTTTTATTTAAGCAGGTTTTTAACTTTGTGCTCCCCCTTGGTTTCATTTTCCTTCCTTTCTGTTATGGGAATTTCTTCTAAACAAAGGCCTACTTAGAATGAGTTATCAAAGTTTTATGAGGAAAACACCCACATTATTTTTATCATAATTGTAAAGAGGCACCTTGTGGGGGAAAGCCTTGGTGCAGGGAATGATTCTTTTAAGAAAGTTAAGAAAAAACTACCTGATTTAGGCCACAGATTTATATATACATACTTACGTACATATGTATATACATACACACACATATACATCCATACTTTAAGGTACAATAATAAGTAAATTACATTAGTAGCGAAAAAAATGGAACAATTGTTTAAAGTGTTTCTTCACAAACGTATTTCTAAAAATAGAGGGGTATTGAGAGAGTGTAGAAAAGAGAGGAATTTTTCCTATTACATTTGAAATTTTGCACTACTACCTGCACTTTAAGCAAAAAGGACAAGTTCTATATTTGGGCTTCTTGAAAAAATCTTCCTGTGCAGAATGTTTGCAGTCATCTCATGGGCCATGTTTAATTCTTAAGCCACTCTGTTGCATTTTTCCAAATTGGCAGTGCAATTCCTCTTGATATTGCATGCATCTTTCATGTTGGTTTCCAGATATCTAAGTAAGTTGTGGAATGAAAGTACCTCTAACAGTAGCAGCTTCTTTGATCTTATGGTGCCTACATATTCAGAATGTGTCTCTTTTGCCTATGGACCAAAGGAAGAATGGCAATAGGATTCAGGTTGGGGGCGGCAGGAGACAAGTACACCCATTGTGTGGGTTTCACAACATTAGATAACAGCTTTTATTATACATCTTTGTCAGGGAATTTTATGAATTTGTAAGTCCCAACATCTTTTTTTTTTGTGTGTGTGTAAATGTGTGTTAGTGCTTTCAGTCTGGGCTTCTTGCTGCCAGTGAACTTGACTAAGAAGGGATGAAGAGAGGAAATATGAAAGATTTCTAAGATTTCAAATGAAATAGTGCAACATCTTTGTTTTGGGCTTGGTTAGTCCTCCTCATCTCTCTTTATGTTTACATGTGGATTGTGAATGAACTTTTCCCCAAAATTTAGGATTTATTGCCATATGCTCAATTGCTCTACAAATAGGTGTTTTCAGTTGAGTGTATGCACTCATACTGATTATGTTCCTTTGTTTTCCAGTTAATAAATAGCAATGTCTCCTTCCTGGAGACTAATGATATAAATACTACAGAAATAATAAAGATATAAGTGAGAGTTCTATGGCATTAAAAGGAGTATATCGGAAAAGACAATGATGTTAAACAAGACATATCCAAAAAATGAAAAATAGATAAAAGGATAATGAGGACATTTTGCCTATAGAATAAATGGCATCTGTACTTTGAGCCAATTCACTTATTCAAATAGACTTTAGGTACCATGTTGTAAAGCTTAGATTTGTTCTAACTATTCCCTTTCCACATTGGTTATGTTGCTACCAGTAGGAGAGCTAAAGTTAATGAGCAGCTTGTGCATAATTCTTCTGATGAATGAAATTATATACTAAAAGAGATTCTTTTAGCAGAATGGCCATGTATCAGATAAGTAAATTGAATCTTCATTTGGCTTTCTGTTCAGCAAAATGATTTTAAGCCACTTTAGTTTGGGGATTAACCTAGCCATTCTGGACATGGCAAGCAATGAATTATTTTGTTGAATAGTAGTTGGTGAGTTTATGTGAAGGTGGAGAAATAAAACTTTTCTTTCTCCTTTCCTTGACATTTAACCAAAATGCCCAGCCTCTTGCAAGTATAATTTTTGTATTTTTCACATGCTTTATATTTTTCTTTACTTTTGACTTACCAAGCACAAACACAGTACGTCAGAGCTGGAAGGGAGTTTAGGGGTCATATGGTTCAACCCTCTCATTTTACAGAGGATAAAATTGAAGTTGAGAAAGGTTAAATTGCCCAAGGTCACGAAACAGAGCCAGCACTTGAATCCATGTCTCTTGGCTCCAAATCTATTGCGTTTTCTTTTCTACCTCATTACCATCTATTTTCTAGATAACAACCAAGAGGCTCAGAGATAGTCTGGGGAAGTTAATTTCTTTGCACATCCTATTAGAAACTAACTCCATCAACTCTTTCTCCCCCCCTTTGGCAGGAGTGGAGGGAGTGGAAATGGCATTACAAGAACCTATGAGCAGTTCTTCCAGTTACTTGTAACTTCATTATATTTTCTGGTTTCATTTATAGCGAGAATGTCAATATTGATGTAGTTCAGTCCTTTCAGTAGTTTTACTGCTAATTGGTTGGACAAGAATCACATTTAGGGTACAAAAACTTAAATTACTATTAATACAGTCCAAAATTATTGGATCACTGAGACATTTCAGCACCTTTCCACCACTTTACAACAGATACAGTAGTGTGGTGGTCCCCAGGACTGAAGACTATTTTGTATTTTTCTTTGTTTCATGTGTTGCCATAGTCAATTAACCCACTAGTAATCAGTCTACTTGTGATAAGGGTATATTTATTTAGCTAGGGTGAACAACACACATTATGTTGCTAGCACCATATTCAAAGCCTTTGTACCTTGATAGTACCTCCGTAGTGGTGTAGCCTTTGAGAATTTAGGGTACCCTCACCTCCATCTCACTGTGAGATTTTGGAGTTGGACTTTTGAGGATTCTGTTTCATTGGGTACTCAAAGGCAACAAGAAACATCATTTCATGGGTCACGTTATTATCTTGCCTTGTAGTGCTCATGATAAATACAAAAAAGACCACCATAAAGACCATTGCAGCTTATGTATTATTTTTTTGCACTGGGTGATGAGGTAGAGAAAATCTATAAAGAATTCAACAATATTCTCCGAACTAAGTCAACATTTTTAATACTTTAACAATTTCAATGCAAAGGTGAGCATGGAGTGAATGGTAAAAAATACATTGGAAATGATGGTTCCAAATTAGGAAATGTGAGTCCAAAGGCTATACAGAAACCTCAAGCCTATCTAACACGAATAGCTTAAGAAGAGAATTTGGAGATATTAGCCATGGTGAACACTGAACATCACAAAAGTGTAATTTGATAAATTTAATAGATGAGAGTCAATATAGCATAGCAGAGAGAGCTGGCCTCAAAACCAGGAAGACATAGTTTTAAGTACTATCTCTGACAATACCAGCAGTGTGACTGGGCAAATCATTTAACCACTCAGTGCTCTAGGCAGATATCAGACTAATTTGCAAAGAAGATTCTAATTTTTATTGGTGGAGGAAATTTCCTAAACTAATAAAATTACAGGTCCAGTCTCTAGATCCTATCCTTAATAGACAGGAAATGATTGGTTACTAATATAGGAATTGGTTTCCAGTCAGCTTTTTCTTTGTAGTCAGAGCATTGACTCTTTATCCACTAAAGGTCAAAATGGACCAAATTAGAAGAAAAGATCAAGATGAGAAGAAAATATGTGCCACTGCAACATTTTCAACTTGGCTTATTCAAAAAAGCTACTGACTGGTAAAAATAGGAACTGGATAAAGGAAAAGACATTAATATGGACTGTGACCATTTTCCATGTGAGTTTAACCAATAAAAATGAACTGCCACAACTACAAGGCTAAAAGAGCACAGAAAGTACCATGGTCAGCAAACACTGTCCTTGTGGAGCAGAGAGACATGGCAACTGAGAGCAGTGTCAATATGGAATGTAAATTTATTTTGCATTATCTTGAGGAGGAGGAGGGTAGGAGATTATGAATGGTATGAACTCGGCAGTAGAGGGAAAAACACATTTGAAGAAAACTTGGTGTGAGACCAAATTAAGCCAACATACACCTATATGTGTACATATTGTTTCCCCTGATAGAATGTAAGCTCCTTGTGGGCAGGGACTGTTTAACCTCTGTTGCATCCCCTGCACCTACTAGGCACATGCTTAATAGGTGCTTAATAAATACTTATTTATTTGATTTGATTGATGATCCTCAGGTTTTCAGTAGCAATTACATGAACAATATAGATATGCTCATCAAAAGTGTTTGCTCCTGGATTACCAGGGCAGAGTTCAAATGTAAAAGGATTTCTTATAAATTTAGAATCTTCCAGATATTCTTGTAAATGACATTGTGCTGATTATATTGAATCTTGGAATAGTTCAAAGCTTCATAAGGAGATCTACGGCTGCCTAAAAGTATTCAGCCTAACCATACATTCAGGAAACAAAACATCCTAGCTAATACCACACTGTTGCTTATACTCTATCCACTTCATCCCCTTTCCACTGTAACCTTGCTTGGGTTTTGCCTTGGATGATAGCTTCTAATAGGGGAGCTTCTGACTGATGTTGCCAAGGGATCCTGCATTAAGTGTTTAGCTCCGCCATGAGGCCACGTGACAGGGGTCTCTAGCACTCCTGCTGGCCTCCCAAGCTGCCATGTGATCTGATACATGGAGAGGTGGGGAATGGGGAGGGAGGTGGCAGGCGATGCTCACTGCCTACCTTTTACACCACTGGGGCCTTGTCCCAGGACTAACTCCTATGCCATACAACCTTTTGAGGCTAAGATTTCTTCCATCTCCTGCCCCCTACAGCCTTCTCTGGAACAACCAACAAATCATCTTGTTTGGGAGGTGCAGCTTTCTTGGGTCTCAGGACAGGCAGACGTTGCTATCAAGCTGAACCTCCAAGGAGGGCCTCAGATAATGGAACTTTGTACCTCTCTCCAACCATTGATAATCTACCTGGATTCTGCTCAATAGTAAACATTTTCCCATCTCCTTATAGTCTATCCCGGTGATTCTAAATCCTCATCTGCCCCATTCTCCATCCTTGATTTATTTCTGCTTTAGCCTTACTCCTGCAGTGTCCTACTTTAGAGCTGCTTACCCTTCCACTGTGCCCTCTGTATTGCCGGCTCCATAATTAACAAATTTTCATTAATTTTAAAACTTTTTCTTTTTTTTTTAACCTTTCTCTTTCAGTCTGATGGCCCTCATTGAGATACTACTTCCCTTGCTACCCCCAGAAATAGTAGTGGTTATATTTTTCTTTTTTTTTTATTTTTAGATTTTTTTTTTTTAGGCAATTGGGGTTAAGTGACTTGCCCAGGGTCTCACAGCTAGTAAATGTCAAGTGTTTGGTCTGAGGCCGGATTTGAACTCAGGTCCTCCTGACTTCGGGGCTGGTGATCTATCCATTGCGCCACATAGCTGCCCCAATTTTTTTTTAAATTGTCCCTTTGTTACAGGCTCATTAATTCATCTTAGTATGAAACTCAGATTTAGTGCTTTTTTTTTTTTTTTTTGGTTAGGCAATGGGGTTAATTGACTTGCCCAGGGTCACACAGCTAGTGAGTGTTATGTGTCTGAGGCCAAATTTGAACTCAGGTCCTCCTGAATCCAGTGCTCTATCCACTGCACTACCTAGCTGCTCCCCCCCCCTTATATTTTCTTTCATACAGTTTCTTACCTTCTGCCTGCTTCTCTTCTGCCTATAAGCATCCCCATATCTCCCCCATCCTAAAAACAAACAAAAAACACCTCTAACTTGATTCTACCACCCCGCTAGCTGTAATCCTGTATCTCTCCTACTCTACTCAGCTGATCTTAAGAAAGTAATTTACAGCAATGCCCCCACTTTCTCACTTCTAAAACCTCTGAAATAGGAATTCTGACTTCACTACTCAACTGAAACTGTTACCTCCAAAGTTACCAATTATCTCTTACAGACTTTTCTCATTCTCGTCCTGGAGCTCTGTGGTCAAGGTTTTCTCGACACTGCGCTTTCCTACCTAGTTTCACCTGTCTCAGTCTCTTTTCATGCCCACTAACTGAGTGCCCCGACCCAGGCTCTTTCCAGGGCTTTCTTTTCCCTCTCATTTGGTGATCAGTTACCTCATGTATGTGATGCTTAGATCTATATCTAGGCCTAGTCTTTGTTTTGAGCTATATAGTCATATATCAACAAATGCCTCTTAGACATCTGGCACTGGATGTTCTGTTGGCATTTCAATATGTCCGAAACAGAACTGATGATCTTTTCCCCAAAGCCCTCTTTTCCTTTGAACTTTTTCAATTACTCTTGGAGTCACTACCATCCTCCCAATCACTCTGACCTGGGACCTTGATGTCATCTTGGCTTCTCACTCCACATATCTCTAATACATTGTGAAATCTTGTCATTTCTACCTTCACAACATCTCTATGTGTTTCTCCAGTCACAGCTACAACCCCAGTTCAAGCCATCATCATCTCTCAAATGGACTTCTAACTGGTCTCTTTTCTTCAAGTCTCTTCCCACTCCATTCTATCCTCCACTTAGTTGCCAAGGTGATCTTTATACAGGGTGGGTCTGATCATCTTATTTCCCTGCTCAGTGAATTCCAGTGGTTCCCTGTTATGTCTAAGATCAAATATACAGTCCTTTTTGGTTTTTAAAGTTTCACAACCTGGCCCCTTCTTACCTTTCCAGACTTCATAACATTTTACCCCACTTCATATACACTAACCTAGCTACACTGGCCTACCTCCCACATGACTTTACATCTCCTGTCTCCGTGACTTTCAATGACTGTCCCTCATGCCTAGAATGTTCTACCCCTGTAAACCCCGAACTCCATGCACCCCACAAACCCAAAGTTATTATCTAAGAAAGACAAACAAGAGTGGAGTACATATGTCCATGGTTTAATTTCTCTCAAGTTGGCTTGACATGCATTGCATCTCAGCCCAAAACGGGCCAGTTCAGAAGTGGCTTGATTTGGGATTTTGGGGTACAGCCTTATATGCCCTTTGAAGAGTAGGTGTTCCCAAGGGGTGCCAATCAATCATGATTGGTCAACACACTAGGGGGTGGGTCATATTAAAATGAGGTCTTGAGTTCCTGCTTTAGATCACTTAGTCCACAGGGGCCAATATCACCCACCAGCAAAGGAAATACCAAGATAAGAAGATTCAATACAATCTCATCAGAGATGTCCTTCTGAACATCTTTGGACAGGAGGCTGGCAGGGTGGAACTCAGTCTCCAAGACACAGATTACCAAGAGAAATCATTTTTAACACCCCCTAACCTCCTCTTAGTTTCCCTGGCTTCCTTCAAGACTCATCTCAAAGCCCATTGAGTCTGGGCAACCAGCAGGGTGGTAACTCAATGCTAGCTGACTATCAGTGAAGCATGGGGGATATACAGCATGGCACTACTAGATGGTTTTATGTGTAAAGCATTTTCATCTAGCTATTTTTTTTTTTTGCTAAGCATATATAGTCAAATTCATGTAAGTTAAATGTGTATATGATTGTGTATGTGTGTGTGTATATATATATAAATGTATTTGTGTGGATATACATATATTGTATATCCTGAATAGTCTATGCAGATTAACAATGAACTGGGACCAGAATTAAAGGGAAAGAAAGTAGATTGGAATGCATTTTGGAAATTGTGCAATGTTTTCAATGATTCTAAGCTGCTCCCTAAACAAAACCCTGTGTGTTTTACATCAGTATTCCTGTGGTGGTACTATGTAACTGCAAATCTTGAAACATCACAATCTCTGAGAAATCAAAATGTTAAGTAACCCAAAGGGCAATGAGAATGTATATGTGATGGTTATGAAGATGACAATGAGTGGGTCAGAAAATGGCCTGTTTACATAGTAAGATAAAAGAATAATCCACAATCCTGGGGTTGCACTGGTTCCTGCTTATTAATTTAATGTTAAAAGACCTAGAGAAAGTAATTTTTTTTATTTTGGGTAGATTTCCTATGGCATATTTATGAGATACTATCAATAAATTTTAGACAAGATGAGAAGACATGGATGGGTCATGATCTTTACTGCTGGCAGGAGTACTCACAATGATGAGATTATGGATCCATTTCAATACTGAAGTATTTAGAAGTAATTTTTAAAAGTGAGTTAGAAGGGGCCTTATAAATGATCTATTTCAATTCTCTCTTGTGCAGTCATGCATGTAACAAATAGCAAAGAGAGGGAATGCAAACTTAGGCCATTTGACTCTTTTCTACTATATAATGCAGTTTTTTGTTTGTTTTTTTGGCTAAGGAATGGGTTTAAGTGACTTGCCCAAGGTCACATAGCTAATAAGAGTCAAGTGTCTGACACCAGATTTGAACTCAGTTCCTCCTGATTCCAGGGCCAGTGCTCTATCCACTGCTCCACCTAGCTGCCCCCATAATGCAGTTTTAAAACTGAACCCACCCATTAAAATCATCTTTGAAATTTAGGTTCACTGACAGGAGTATTACATATATGTTGTGGTTTTAACCATTGTTCTTCCCACAGCAGGGACAATAGAGTTCAACAATCTGCAATCCACACTCTGATTTATGGGGTCAATTCCTATAATAGGAAACAGACAATAGTTCTTTTTTCCCTTGCATGGTACTTAAGGGAATTCAAAGGGCATTTATGAAGTTCCTAGGAATAGAAAGACAAAAAGGAAATAGCTCCTGTCCTCGGGGAACTTTTATTCTATTGGTGTGAAAATAAGAAACACAAAAAGTAAACAGAAAATATAGTATATACGAACTAAAGTAATTTGAGGAAAGGGCCCTAGCAACTGGGTACAACAGGATAGGCTTACTTGAGCTAGAGATTCCATTAGTCAGAGGTGGGGCAGAAACAAATTCCTGGCATGAGGGACAGTTTGTGTAAAGGCAAGCAGAAGAGACAGTACGCTGTCCGAGGAATAGCAGGGAAGTTCTTTTACTGGAACTTTGAGTGCTCAAAAGGCTGGAGTCAGATTGTAAAGGGCTTTAAAAGCCAAAAAGTAGTTTGTGTTTTATCCTAGAAGCAATAGGGAGCTGGTGGAGGTTCCTGGGCCAAGGAGTGACTTGGTCAGACATACAGCAGTCCGGAGAAGAGGTATTAGCAAGAGACTTGTCATGTTGGATTTGGGGTTAAGTATTATTGAAGTCATAAGGTGCCTACCAGTTTGTATTCCTGACCTG